AGCGATAAAATTGCCATCTCCCCTGTGTGCCATGCGATCGGAACAAGAAACATGCAAAGCTCTTAAGCTAATTAAGAACTGGAAGTAAGCTAAATTACCCATGTTGCGATGATCTCAGAGTGAAAAGTCCCTGCTCTGGCAAATCTGATGAGATGTTCCCTCCCATCCTCCACTATGGTGAAGTTGGCCGATGCATCCATTTGAGTGCGGGTTCACCCCCGCCGGCCAAGGGGTGCGGGTGTCGCCCCCTCAGACTATTTTACGAGCTCGGAACGCGCTGGCTATGAAAATCTCGGAGCTGACACACCTAACATTTGATTCAAGTCGCATCTTGTGACACCGACCGCATTTTCCGGTCGGGTCACTGACCTATGGCGTCATAACTAAATCTTTGCACGGTCGTTACTTTGGACATCATACATATACGAAGTCAATAAAGTTACCAGTTTTTTTTTTCGTTCACAACTACCAATGAATTGAGCTCAGAAAAGTCATCCATGGACTCACGAAGACCTGCTGAATCAAACAATATGAACCATGACCTTCTCCGATCCATTTCGTGACCTTGGTGGCTTTCCCCTGTCCTTGACCTGAGGTCAACATCCAAACCTGACTTCGCCCAAACAAAGAGATAATTCAACGCAACTGACCATGACAAACACGATGATGTCAATATCCCATTTGTGCGATCATTTTTGGCAAATTTATTCGCCAAAAACCAACCACTACCTTGGAGCACTTCTCAGAGGCCACCAGTTGACTTGAAATCTTAAGAAAGGGTGCCTGCCAGCCAATTAGGTACATCCTTCTTTGTGATCCATTTTTTGGACTCAGCCATGCTTGCTGTCCCAAACCTTTTTGTGACAGGTCACTGTTATGATTAGGGCTGCGGAGTCGGAGTCGGAGTCGGAGTCGGAGTCGGTCGGAGTCGACAGTTGTGATCGGAGTCGGAGTCGGAGTCGGAGTCGATTTTAGAAACCCGAGCCGGAGTCGGAGTCGGAGTCACCGAAAATCTGTCGACTCCGCAGCCCTGCTAGGTCTGCGGAGTCGGAGTCGGGAGTTGGAGTCGGTCGGAGTCGACAATTCTGCCCGGAGTCGGAGTCGGAGTCGGAGCTGGTTTTTGAAAGCCGGAGCCGGAGTCGGAGTCGGAGTCGCCGAAAATCCTTTGACTCCGCAGCCCTGGCTTATGATGCATCATACTGGTGAGCTGCAAAGAATTGTTCAACTTATTTATCCAAAGTCTGATTTGAATATGTTCCATGATGAGCTTGACTTTGCTCTTTTGCAGCAATTGGTGTGGAAAGCTTCATCATTCTACTAAGAGATGGTATCCCCAACAAAACTGGTGAGCATCATGGCATGCTAATTCCTACATAGTGCTGAAACCATCACAAACACTACCATTAATGTTTTTTATATGCTAAAAGGAGTCTGTGAATGATGACATGGTTAAGCAGATGAACTTAATAAATAAATCAGCCTGCCAAGCTGGGCTAGAGCATAGATACAATGAGCATTTCCTATTTCAAGGGACACTTCAATCAGATCACAAAGTGATTAAGGGTAGCAGCCTAGAGGCCATGCTTCCCTGTACTGCCCCTTGCCTCTTCCCTGTACTGCAGAATGAGCAGGGTATGTGATAATGTGCAAGCAGCATTTTTATCTTGTTATCTATGCTTCATAGTATGCTTTATAGCGACACTAGCATTGCTGAACTTGTACAAGCGGATCATGATCTATGATCAGCTTAACCCTCGCCGGCCGAGGGGGGGGGGGGGGGCGGGTGCCGCCCCCCCCCCCCCATAGGGTTTTTTCGCGATAGCTCCGAACACGCTGGCGATAGAGAGCTGAAACTTGGCATACCTGACCTTTGATCCAAGCCGAATCTTTTGACACCAACCGCATTTTTGGGTCAGGTCAGGTCACTGACCTATGACGTCATAAGTGAACCTCTGCACGGTCTTCAGATGTCGCAATTTCGCAACGCCCTCACTGCCAGAGGAGATGTCACAGGGAAATGAAACTTGCAGGATCTAGTATCCATTATGATTCCCACAACTTGTATATCTCGGATTTTTCCTAAAGGTCATATGAGGTCAGGTCATTTTCGTGACCTCACCATTATAAGTCAATGGGGAAAAATGAAAACTGCTATTCTGGCGCCGGGAACGATCTCCAACTATCTCAAGCACACAGAATCGTGATTTGATGCACTCCTTGCAAGGTTAGATGCGTCACTTTTGCAATGTTGACCTTGCGTGACGTCATTTATGACGTCATCAAGGTCATATTAGTTTTTCGTCAATAACTCTTGATCAAATTGAGCTAGCGAGTCGGGAAAGCCACCAATGGACTCAGGAAGACCTGCCGAATCGAATGATATGCGACATGACCTCTTTCGACCAACTTCGTGACCTGGGGGTGCTGACCTGACCTTGACCTGAGGTCAACACCCCAAGTTGACCTGACCCGGACAAAAAGTATATCATTCGACGCGCCTGAGCGAGACGAACACGATGCTGCCAAAATCGGCGCTCTGCGGCCGTTTTTTGCGAAGTTATTCACCAAAAACTGAACCGTACCTTGGGGCACTTGACCTGACCTCAGAGGTCACCGGTTGACCTAGGAGCTTAAAATCGGGTACCAATCTCTGCGTCTCGTAACGGCGCACACGCTCGTCTTTTCCGCGACGCGCTAGCTCCACCAGGGGCGAAACGGCGAGGGGGGGTCGTACCCGCCCCACCCCTCGGCCGGCGCGTATGTAGAAAACCAATAGGTCCGGCGAGGGTTAAACTCTTTCCATGTTCCAGTTCCCTGTAAAAATAGGTTCCACCAAGATCTATTTGAATGACAATGGTAATTGGTACCCATTGTTTTTTATACTTAAAATTGAAATAAGTGCACTCAATTGTGTGGAAAATGCATGCAGAAAAAAACTCAGCACATCTTATCCTTACCATGGCAGCACTTTCGTAAAGTCTGCTATTGCTCAATGTTTTAGATCCACATCGCCGGATACAAGATCAAAATGGTGTGTATCATGATCTCCCCCGCACAGTGCATTCTTGTACTTGCCACCAATAGCATTGGCATGCTGCTTCACATTGCAATCAACATTAATTAAGCACCACTTCACATCAAAAGTTTATGTTCTTACATTAGCAGCGCCTTTACGTCAAAAGACAATGTTTAATCATCAACAACCAAAATAAAAAATATCTAACTACCCACGTACGTCTTTGAATTGGAATAGTCAAAATGCTCATTTACTTTACTTTGTACTTACCTTGACAAATATTGATTTAAAAAAGAACACAAAAGCATTGAATTAAAATACAACCTGAAAAATCCAAACAAGAAGCAAATAAGCAATGCCAGGTAATAGGGCCTCACTGAAATTACCTATATTTTCTACATCAAACTTGGAGCCTGGCTGTATATTTGAGAATATCAGCTAAAATAAATCAATTAACCCACCTTTATGTCGACGTGGTTAATCTCAATCCTGCTCCCTCTTGCTCTTGCTGTCGACGTAACAGGTTTGCCGTGCTAGCGTATCCAACGTCCCAGCGCCAATATACTGAGCTTTTATTTAGACTATGATTTATATCAAAAATATAAAAAGTACTGAGTTTATCGCACATCAAACGAACAAATGCAACGTCAAAAACAAAGAATCAACAACGGCCCAATGCGCGCAAGCAACATGCAACAACACGTACGAATATTGATGTCAAGGTTGACATAATTTGAGTCTTCATTCTGCCACGAGAGTCAAACGTACTTGTGACGTCATTGGAAATAATGAAGCCACACAGCGCAGGATAAAGGCAGTCGAAACCCGCGAAGCATGCATGCACCATGCACCGTTCCGTGCTTCTATCCTCAGGATAATGAAATCCTTCTCCTCCACGCCGCAACCCCCCTCCGGCCTGGACAGGCAACTTTATCTCATGCGGGCTGCTCCCTTGGAGCGGCACCACCGCTGCTCCCGAGGGAGCGCACCCCGTAGCCGGGTGCAGTGAGTACCTTGGGGCTGGGTGGCCTGTCCTCTGGACGGGCTCAGCCCCGGCGACTCACTAGGGTGCCTGCCCAGACCAAGGTCTCCCCCTACATCCTATCATCCTCCCGGCTCTGAAATGGTCTCATTGGACCGAAAGGGCCTAACCCAACAAAATAAAACAAAACAAAACAAAACAAAACAAAACAAAACAAAACAAAACAAAAAAGCGAAGCATGCACACCGTTCCGTGCTTCCATCATCTCAGGCTACAGAAATCCTTCTCCTCCGCACCGCAACGGAACCCCCTCCGGACTGGACAGGCAACTTTATCTCATGCGGGCTGCAGCGCTGCTCCCTTGGAGCGGCACCGCTGCTCCCGAGGGAGCGCACCCCGTAGCCGGGTGCAGTGGGTACCTTGGGGCTGGGTTGCCTGTCCTCTGGACGGGCTCAGCCCCGGTGACTGACTAGGTTGCCTGCCCAGACCAATGTCTCCCCTATATCCTATCATCCTCCCGGCTCTGAAATGGTCTCATTCGACCGAAAGGGCCCAACCCAACAAAACAAAACAAAACAAACAAAGCCGAAGCATAAAACACGGCCTTTGGCAATGTCTTGTGATCGATGTGATAGAACGGGGCACATACAAGGCAATAGGACCACCGCCTTGCTGACTACATGCTTTATCGGTCGGGGTCCCAGCGTGATTCTCTCCCACCTCGGGCCCCCGCCCCCTCCCAACATTGACAACCCTTCAGTGTATTCATGCATCAACTTACCGTAACAGCCGTCAAGACATGACTGATTACAAACTTTGTTTAAATGCCACCGTGTGAAAAAATAGCTTCTCGTCTTGAACCGTGGGGATTTCGGATGGGAGGGGGATGGCTGATCAGCTCGTATACCACCCAATCACGGAGAGCCCACTGCTCATGCTGGCTTCCCTACTTCTTCAAAAACCCAAGTAACGATTGGAGACTTCTCACAATAAAATACCAGCTGATGAGGCACATGTATTGCATGTATGAACAGTCCGATTCATCACGCCACACCGTATCGTTTGCGCCGGAGAGCGGGCGGCAGCATCTGTTCGACTCGAGCGGCGGGTGCCTCCACGGCCAGTAGACGCCGCTCTGCCAGAGAGCCCAGGTACAGCAGATGCCGATACCTGGAACAAGGAGCAAGTAACGTTACACAGGTGCGTAGAATAGGCACGCACCAGAAAGAAAGACTCGTTAGACGTAACAAAAACAATGCTCAATAGGTCCCGGTATCTGAAATAAGCGCTATAACAGTAATTCGTATTCGTTTCGGGCTACACTGAGGTAAAAAATTGTTAAAAACCAAATATTTCGGCTTTATTGAGTAGCCTTGTTCACTGGTTTGAAATATGAAATACAAAAAGACGATACAAATGTGATGACATGCGAAACAGGTTCGTGCTATCAATGATCTGTGACTTCCTTTTTTTACACTGTGCATACGCTGAAACAACCATACAGTTCAAAGCATCACACATCGTTATGAAAGTCGTAATAAGACATAATACATCGTCTGATTCGTATCATCGTCGAAAGTCGGAATCGTATAAGCGCCAGACGGTCTCTTATAAAAATGCATTAAAACCTGTACTTTGGCTATCATGCAAAGACAAGAAAGAGTACCTAGATACTTTTGAGATGCAAAAAAACAACAACTATGGTTCCTCATTTTCTCTATAAATCTAACACATGTCAACACAAAGCAACGTCCCAAATCGGGCTAATGGTAGCTTTGCCCACCCCCCTATTCATTGCTGACTTGTGTATTTTTATCTCTAGAGCTTCCCGAATCGTTCTTCTTTTCCAGTTCCGTTCAATGGCCAAGGTTGTAGCTTTTCGCGGGTCCAAATCTCTAGCACATGAGAAGGCGTGTTGTGCTGTAGCCGATGTGTCCGTGCGACCATGTCTTATATCAGCCACATGTTCTTTCAGCCTCGTAAGCTTGGGGCGTCCACTTTCTCCGACATAAGACTCCCCGCAATCACATTTAATCTGATAGATGACACCCTTTTGCATTTCTGGATCCGTCTTGTCTTTTACTTGAACTAGATGATCTCGAAGCGTTCTAGATTTGTGCCCTGTTTTGATGCTGTGTTGACGTAAAAGTCTTGCTATGGGCTCGCTCAGTCCTTGCACGTAAGGTAAAGAAATGTACGTTGTTCGGCTTGTTTCTTCATGTGCATCTGTCCTATTTGCTTTCTTCTGCGCTAATCCCTTTTTAATCACATGATTTGGGTATCCGTGCTGCTTGAACACTTTCCCTAAATGCTCCTTTTCTTTCGCTTCCGCTTCTTTGGTGCTAGATATTTTCTCTGCTCTCCTGGCGAGGTTTCTGATGACTCCAACCTTCACTGCTGACGCGTGATTTGAGTTGTTTCTTATGTAAGTGTCACTTGCCGTTGGTTTCCTGTAAACAGCGGTTCGAAGACCCTGTGCACTGTCCCTGCTGACGCATACATCGAGAAACGACAGTTGGCCGTCCATTTCCTTCTCGGCGGTGAATTGAATACTTGGATATAGGCTGTTCATAAGCTGCATGAATTCATCTAAAGCTGTTTCCCCGTGAGACCAGATAACAAAGGTATCGTCTACATATCGGCGCCAGTAGGATGGTTTTAGCGGAGCTACAGCTATTAGCCTTTCCTCAAGATGCTCCATGAAAGCGTTGGCGAGTACAACTGACAGGCTAAGCCCCATCGGCGCGCCTTCTACCTGTTCAAAAAACTCTCCTTGGAAGACAAAGTATCTACACTCAAGACAGGCTAACATCAGCCTACGGATAGCATCTACAGAGAGCTCACTCCTCTCGGCCAGCGTTTCGTCATCATTGAGTTTCTGACACACTACATCTACAGCGTCCATCACAGGTACTTTAGTAAATAGAGAAACAACATCAAAGCTCACCATTACATCTGATTGCGAGATTTCCATTTCCCTCAGCTGATCTACGAAAGCACTTGAATTGGGTACCGTATACTCAGATTTGCCCACCACAGGACTGATCACCTTCGTCAGGTACGATGCTGTTTCGTACGCTGGAGAGTCGATCATGCTAGTGATAGGTCTCACTGGTGTTCCTGGCTTGTGGGTCTTGGGAAGGCAGTAAAGTTTAGGAGCGGTCGTGTGTGTCGGACGTAATTTCTTCGCAAGTTCGTTCGTCATATCGCCGTTCTTCCTCAGAGAGTCGATCACGTTTCTCATCATTTTTTCTTTTCCAGGTGTAGGATCGCTTGGTACCTTCCTATAGGCAGGATCATCGAGCAGAGTTTTCACCTTGTTGGTGTAATCCTCAGTTGCCATTACTACTACCCTATTTCCTTTGTCTGAAGGGAGTACTTTGATGTCTGATCTTCTTTGTAAATGCTTCAGAGCATCTCTCTCCTGAACAGTCATATTGTCTTTTAGCTCTTTTTGCTTGGCCTTGGCTATGAGGCCACTGACCTTTGACCTGGTGGCATTTGCCGCTTCTATGTTAGTTTCTTTGGAAAGTCCTGCTTCTACTGCTGCAATGATCTCTTTAACTGGTAAAACCTTAGGAGTTGGAGCAAAGCCCAGACCTTTTTCCAGAACATGAATATCTATGTCTCTCAAAGGCTTACCACTTATGTTTTCAACTGGGGTTTTCGCCACATGAACCTTCTGGCCGGCTGACATACGTTCAGATTCATCGCAAAGCTTCTCAAACTTCTTAACGTGATTCTTTTTGACGTTAAAAAAATGTTCGCTTGGCTGACTTGTCAGTAACCCTATGAACTGTGACCATGTCTTCTCCAGCGAGCGTTGATTCAAGCGATCTGATGAGCTTGGTTTTCTCCCTCAACTTTTCCGCCTTCTTTTTCTTTAAGCTGTTGATGTGATCAGTCAAAAGCTTCTTTTCTGTTTCTCTCAAGATTCGTTGTGTTCGCTCGCCTCCTGAGTGCTTCGCGAGTCTCATTCCCTTAGGAATCAAGTCGTTCGTTCTGCATCTTCGAAGGAACACAATCTGATTCGTTAGGTTTGCGAGTTTACATTTGATAAACTTTAAGGTTACTGTTAATTGATAAACTCTCCGCCCGTAGAGATTCATCAGGTATTGACGAAGTGTCATTTCTAATCTTCCTCAGGTAAATGATAGTAATTCGTATTCGTTTCGGGCTACACTGAGGTAAAAAATTGTTAAAAACCAAATATTTCGGCTTTATTGAGTAGCCTTGTTCACTGGTTTGAAATATGAAATACAAAAAGACGATACAAATGTGATGACATGCGAAACAGGTTCGTGCTATCAATGATCTGTGACTTCCTTTTTTTACACTGTGCATACGCTGAAACAACCATACAGTTCAAAGCATCACACATCGTTATGAAAGTCGTTGTTGACATGTGTTAACTTTCAACTTTCAACAACACATCGTTGTTGAAAGTTGTTGACATGTGTTAGATTTATAGAGAAAATGAGGAACCATAGTTGTTGTTTTTTTGCATCTCAAAAGTATCTAGGTACTCTTTCTTGTCTTTGCATGATAGCCAAAGTACAGGTTTTAATGCATTTTTATAAGAGACCGTCTGGCGCTTATACGATTCCGACTTTCGACGATGATACGAATCAGACGATGTATTATGTCTTATTACGACTTTCATAACGATGTGTGATGCTTTGCACTGTATGGTTGTTTCAGCGTATGCACAGTGTAAAAAAAGGAAGTCACAGATCATTGATAGCACGAACCTGTTTCGCATGTCATCACATTTGTATCGTCTTTTTGTATTTCATATTTCAAACCAGTGAACAAGGCTACTCAATAAAGCCGAAATATTTGGTTTTTAACAATTTTTTACCTCAGTGTAGCCCGAAACGAATACGAATTACTATCATTTACCTGAGGAAGATTAGAAATGACACTTCGTCAAGCGCTATAACGTTAAACGTGTCAAGAGGGCACAAAGACAAGCGAGAAAAGGAAAGGAAACAAGTTCGGGAACAAGAGAACAAGTTCTGAAAGGGAACTGATACTGAAAGCGAACAAGCTCAGCGATTACATAAAACATGCGACAATGAAGATTTAGTGAACCCAAAACAATTAACAAACTCCCATAAATATAATGCATGGTAGTTTCTTCTATACTTTCCTACCAGAATTTAAGCTCCCGGAGCCCCGGACGCCAATTGGTACAACGACCTCCATAAGTAGCGCATGACTGCTCGCTCAACAGTATGATAAGCTGTCGGCTGCTAACGACTCTTTCCACTTCTCGTAATTCTAGCAGCATTGGCACGGACCATGGAAACACATTGTAAGCCTCATCAATCCATCACTACCCCTAGGCCACTTCCTACTCTCGGTAACTTATTTCATAGCTTCTCCGCTCCTGTCTGCCTCATATAGACCTTGCTGGCGACATTTAGCCCCACTCAGCCTTTATGAGCTCTTAGCATATGACACACTGACGCTTGTGTGACCACATCTGTCAAGCGCCACGAGCGTGTGGTGTGTTAGTTGATCGTAAAGCTGTGAGGTTATCGAAGTCTGTCATCGATCGTGCTCCTGAGTTGCGAGCTATGGCCTATGACATGGCCCACTTTGTGTGCAGCTGCAAGAGTGAGGAACTTATTTAAACTAACTGGGTATAGTGTTTTTGAAGTAATTATTTTGATGCGTCTTTCAGAAAAAGCCTGTTCAAATTTTCAGACGGTCAACTGCTTAGTGCTTGGTCTGCCGTGGTTACAAACACAAAGCCGAAACAGCCGCATTTGTTTATGAAAATGTTTCATTTTGTGAAACCAACATTTAACCCTAAAAATACGTTAACCCGTGCGGGGCTGGGGTCTACAGCCGAACGCGCGGGGCTGGGGGGGGGGGGTAAATTTTACCCCCCCCCCCTGTTATCTCCCGAACTAATGGTCCGATTTGGAAAATTCAAACGCCAATCGAAAGCTCTCATCACGAACTACTAAAAACATGTACTTAATTTAAAGTTTGAGGTCAAGGTCAAGGTCAGGTCAAGGGTACAAATTGCAAGTTTCTACAGTATCGGCCTTGCACCGTAGTTGCCGAAGAATGGAGTCATGGACTGAGACTGATCGCCCAAAACGTGTTCTTAGGCTACCAAGACAATATTCGTTGCATACAATATCATTCAGAGGTCAAGGTCAAGGTCAGGTCAGGTCAGGTCAGGTCACCAAAAAACAAAATATAGAAAATGGCATGTGCGACACATGTTTTATGGGTCATTTTACTCATAGAATTCAATAGGCACACTCAATAAGTGATATGGACCACCTCTGGATGAATTTCAGGTCGAGGTCAGGTCAAGGTCAGGTCAAGTGAGGTCAAATTTTGAAGTTGGTTGTTAAGGCCTAAAAAGGTGTCTATCTGATGCAGTTTTTCACGGCGAATCGAATGGTGCTATTTTTGTTTCCGTACGAGGTCTAGAACTTCCAAAAAAGTCATTTTTCAAAAAATTTGTGTGTCGTGACGTCATAAAATTTTGAATAACTCCCACATTTTTGAACCGATTCTTCTAAAATTTGGTATGTAGGTGCACATAGACCACTTCTCTGACATATATTCTGGTTTTTTCGATAGACTCAAAATTTTGGATTTTATAATGATTTTCCCAAAAAAGTCAGTTTTTTGAAAAAATCTAGGCAAAAATCCAAAATTTTCAAAAAACCGAGATAGCCATTTGATAGACAAAGTAAAATTACGTATAACCTTTTTTGTTACGTCTTGATTCCTTTAAAAATGAAGATGTTAGCGGCGTTTGAACTTTTGCCGTTTTTGAGGCGAAAATGGCGAACATGACGTCACTAAAACGTCAATTTCTCAAAAAATTTTCCGACGGATTTCGCTCAAATTTTCAGGGAACGTGTCAAATTGATGTAAGAAAAGGTACTGAAAGTTTGGCGGCGCTGCGCGCCGCCGTTTTTGAGATATCGCAAAAATTCGCGAGGGGGGGGGGGGTAAAATTTACCCCCCCCAGCCCCGCGCGGGTTAACAAAAATAATATTAACAAACGACTACGATACTATTCGTCTCGTCAATTAAACGCCCAAAATAAGTTCGGATTAAAGTCCGTCAACTCTACAATTCCCGCGGCTCATAATTTCACTCACCTATCTGTTATGACGACGCTCTCGGCGGCCGTCACCTCGGCCGTCTCAATAGTTTTCCGGCGTCCTTTGGCCGTTTTGGCTCGTTTGCTGTCGGCTGCCTGCTCGCCGGCGGCCGCGTCCAGCGCGCACACACCGCTGTCATCGTGCAGCAGTACTCTGGAGCCGCACTCAGTCACGGTGATGTGCCGCACGGGCAGCGGCCGCTTCTGCCACGCCTCGGGTACCTGCTCGGCCGCCCAGCGCGACCAACCGGTCAGGTGGCCGGCGGCTGTGTCGAACTCTGCCACCGACCGGTCCGCGTAGGCCGCCAGTATGTGGGTGGCACAGTCGGGTCGGAACGCCAGAGCGGTGGCAGGCGCTGATCGGCGCGGCATGCGAGATACCAGCGCCGGCTTCTCGAGATCCCAGACGAGGACACCGCCGTCCCGGTCGGCCAGAGCGGCGCGCTGCCCGTCAGCACTCAGCGTGAGCAAGTTCAGCGCGACGCTCTGCTGTTCCTCGTCCTCTTCATCGTCCTCATCGGGGTCCTCCCGGCCGTCCGCCCAGCCCAGGTCCTCGGCGCTCAGCTCGTCTAAAGCGGAGGTCAGTCGGAGTCGGACCAGCCGGCCGGCGGCGGTCAGCAGTAGCAGCCAGTCGCCGGACGGCGAGAACGCCAGCTGGCGGCACGGCCCGGCGGCCTCCGGGGGGAGGCTGCGGACTCTCTGCAGACTGGGCCGCGCTGTGCCCGTCTCCAGCCGGTGCAGCCGCAGCCGGGCCGGTGTCGAGTAGGCCAGCCAGCCGGCGTCGGCTGACACGGCGGCGCAGACGGGCGGCTCGCCGCGCCGGCTGCTCAGCTGCAGCAGCGCTACTGGCTGCTCGTCGCTGCCGGCGGCCGGCAGACGCCACAGCCGCAGCTCCGAGTCACCGACCGTCACCAGGCCGGGCAGCCGCGGCGCCGGCAGCACCGTTCCCAGCTGACGGCGGAGATCGGGGGCTGTCATATCAACGGATAGGGAACAAGACAACGACCCATCCAGTGAATATCGACACAGTGACTACAGACGTGCCATCAAAACCTTGAAGTGAGACACGACATACAGGATGGACATCTTTGGGTACTTATACACATCCACAAACAAAAATAAAAAACTTCGAAAAAATTGCCGCTTGCCGAAATCAGTAAATAGTAAATACACATTTTTTTTGCATTTCGATCTGGCGAAGAGGTTAGAACAGCATACCTGCGGCAGCGGAGACGTCCGGACGGTGTCTTTGTTGTTACCCTGAAAGTCGAACACCAGATCGGCATCCACGCCTGAAACACATAACGACGACAGTCAGTCGGTCCCTCATATCGACAAATGACGCACCTCTCCTCATCCAGTTGCTTCACGACCCCACCAACCAATCGTCCCTCCTCACCGCCGTACCGATCACAGCTACAATGAGCGTCCAACTACCCTCGTAAGCCCGCTTTTCGTCCCCGTTACCGTTCTGACTACCACCTCAACATCCACACCGAATTCCATGCCACCCACGGAGTGACTCCGTTCTCACCTGCCGAAATCAGACAGTCTCCGGTGCTGATCATAACGCGCACATCCCGCACATGCAGCTGTATTCTCAGCGAGCGGACCCAGCCGGCAGTGGCCCGCGCTGACGGTATCCGCTCAAACCGGGCCACGGTGGGGTCGACTCCCGCGGCAAATACCCGCTCCCCGTCGGCAGAGGAGGTGACGGCGAGTACGTCCGCCCGGTGGGAGCCGAGAGAGGTGTGCAGGGCGCCCAGAGGACCGTTCCAGAACGACACACGGCCCCTGTAAGAGATGGGGAGGGGAGGAACACCGGAGTCAACTAACTGTTGGGGTAAATGGTGGGGGCACGAGGCTGCGATGATTAAGACGAAGTTGATATTTGGGTTTAGCGACAAGAGCAGAACGACATCGTCAGGTAACATTGACGGGAAAGTAAGCCACAAGCTCATTGTGATTTCAACGAGATACAGACGGATGTTAGGTAACTGCCGTCGAAAAAGGCCAACATCGTACACATCGCGACCTCTACATAAGTCCGTCCCGAAACTAACAGAACCCCGCCCCCTACCGACGCTCAGCCTCACCTGGAGTCTCCGGTAACGATTGTGAGGTCGGCGAGCAGTGCTACACTCCAGACCAGAGTCTCCTTCCGGCCGACCTGACGGCCGACGGTGATACGCGACACCTGTGCGCCGGTACGCGCCTGGTGCAGGCAGACTGCGTTTACCGATCCGGCTGCTAAGTGGGTGCCGTCGGGCGACCAGGCGACGCACAGGATTCGCCGCTCCTTAAAGGAAATAGGTCACTTTTAACATGGGGTTTGAACTGGAATAGCAGTTTCGTAGCTTGAGCTGAGACTAGCACAAATCAGGAGCTTTTACGGCTCAATGATCACCCTAGACGAAGATATTCCATTTCTCGTTCCGAAAAGAGTGCCTTGCAGAGGAATGTGTGCCTTGCACAGGAATGCAGCCACGTCATCGTCAGCCAATCAGCATGCTGCTTACAGCCAATGCAGTATGCGTAGGTTTGAACTACGCGATATGATTGGTCAACGCGTAATAAGCTTCCGCGTCAAACATTATTTTACATAGAATATAGTTTGTCCTATATCAAAATATAGAAAAAAAAATGTTTTTACAAAAAGGTTTTATTTTATTTCATGATCATTTTGAGCATAAAAAATCATAAATCAATAGCAAAATACTAATTTCAGGAAAGTGAACTGTTTCCTTTAAACACGGACACACGGGATGTAGTCAGAGGCCACACACGGGATCGGTCGTTCTTGAAATATGAAAAAAAAAACATATTGAGACGGTCAAGGGTTTGACGTACAGGATACGCCACTCCTGAAGCTAATCCACGCCGTTATCAGGCAGTTTGACGAACAACGGCAGAATCTGACAAATACCGCTAAAGTGCGTGATCTGAGGCCTAGGAAAGCAAAAACAAAGCATCCTTACGCCAACAAACACTTCTCGCGACGCTACTTTGTCCCGTCCAAGGGTCCGAGTGCACGGTGCAGTCTGCTGACTCACCTGTTTGGCCATCCGGCGCTCGAACACGAGTCCCTCGTCGGTGACGGCGTGTACGATCACCTGACCGTCCTCAGTGCCTGCAGCCAGGCGGCAGCCGGCCGGGTCCGCCGCCAGACACCAGGCGGCCGTGCCCGACACCGACGTACTGGCGGTGGCCTCCAGGCCGTGGCCGCCGTGCTCCAGCACGTGCCCGTGCAGTCCGGTCGAAAAGAGCCGGCCGGCGGCCCACGCTAGCGCCTCAACGCTGGCGCCGCCGGCCGGCGGCAGACGCGCCTGGCACACGGGAGCGCCGCGCCGGGACAGCACACAGCCAACGTCCCACAGCTCCACGGCATTGTCTGACCTGTTCAAACAATATTCAGTGTACTCAGTGAGCAGGACCACTTCTCACAACTCATGGCATTGCCCAGCCTGACCAAACAAAGTTCAGACTAGTCATCAGCCATGACAGTGAAATAGCCTTTCCACAAGTCTTACTCTTATAAAAAAAACTTCAGACCTTCACATAAGAAGAGTTGGTGTACAAGGATCATCAATTAGCTTCTTATTTGCAGCAGCTTCAATGTTTTACATTTAACCGTTCTTAATCACCTTCCCGGGCAAAAAGGATCCATAGTAACGCATGAAGATGGCATGCTCAGCTAGGCAATAGAGCCATAATAGATGCTCAAATTTTATCAGCTTAGCATCCATGCTGCAAAAATAAAACACAATTGCAGTTTAGGTGATGAGACAAGCCAGGCAGCTTGCTTACCTTGAAACAGCTAGCTTGTTCGCTTCTGCATTAAGTGCTGCACAGTGAATTGCTTTGGCTTCAGGAACGAAAAACCTCACAGTGTGAGTCTCAAAAGCCGTCATCTTGCTCTCAAACAATATTCAAGTCAGAAGTGACTCCACATTGAAGTAATCTGAAAAAAGAACATGAGCATGTAAAAATCAAAATCATCCAAAACTGAACAAATGAACTGTGGATTTTGAAACCCATTTATGAAAAATGATTTCATATCTAAAACTAGCACAGCAAGTGTAACTGCGTAGCAGTTGTATCTGACTTTGGTTTCTCCTCATTTGCAGGTTCGCCAGCCATTGAATGAGCGCTAATTGAGCTGGGCGGCTATTTGTTTGTTTCTTTGTTGCGCATTGAGCGACTGGAAGGAGTGACTGTGGAGACAGCACACTGTTGTCACTCGAGGTACCTGGAAAGAGTACGTTTCTATTTTTCTCTAGTCATTTCCATTGTATCGTTCGTCGCGATTTGGCTTCACCATGTGTTAATAATTTTTTCGCGCTATCATTCTGTTACAAAGTACAAGCGTACTGGTTTCGATTATTTATCATGCGTTTACCAAAGTTTCGACTGAACGTTCGCCACATTTTCATGTGTCACATTTAACGCGAAGTGTGTATGTGAGTGTGAATGTGTGCGCTTTATTGCTGAGGGAGCATTATTTAACCCATTTTCTCATGTGTGTGATTGACAGGTTTTTACGGTGACTGGTGTTACCAACCCAAGGTTCTCTGTCATTACCCCACATTACTGGATCCCAATACATGTGCTCTATCCCAATGCATCCAGTAGTTTGAGTTTTGATTGACGGTGGTGGCGGAGGCCGCATCAGTAAAAACTCTTCCTTCCGTCAGTGACCATACTACTAACAAACTAACCACGACCCGCAGAGTCAGAATTATGCTTCTCATTATTATTTTTTCCTCAATTACCTCAGTAGTTAGAGCTGTAGCTGTCCCCCATTAACGAGTCAACCAACAAGGAACCGAACATGGAGGGAGACAGCATCAGTGAAGCGCGTGGACTTCCAGGTCTCACCTCACAACGTGGAAGACAAGTAACGCTGACTGAAGAAGGGAGACAGTTCCAGATCGACATCAAGCAAAAGAAGTACCAGAAGGATCTGAAGGAGTTGAAGAAGGGTGTCGATATCATCAAGAGGCTGGAAGTGACAGGTGAAGAGGAGAATGAGACGCTCAAAGAAGCATACATCCAGTGGAAGAGAACATACATCGATCTGGTCCAGACTTCCAGTGAGCTGCAAGGTCTTCTCTCTGAAGTTGATTTGCAGCAACACCTGTCAAGACACCAAGATGTGATGCCTGAACTCAACACAATGAAGGCCGAGATGGAAAAGAAACTGGAGCCTACTCACAAAACACAAGAAGTTCAGCCATCAGTCGCATCATCAAGGTGTTCTGTCCGATCGAAGATCAGCCTTCTGCGACTTGAAGACGCCCAGAGAAGAGCGGAGCTAGAAGCCAGAGCAGCTGCCGCAAAGAAGCGACTGCAAATGGAGCGTCAGAAACAAGAGCTGCAGTGGAAGATGCAGGAACTGGAGCTGGATACTGAGCGTGAGATCCTGAAGGCGAAGCAAGGGGCTCTACTGAAGTTTGAAGAGGAGGAAGGAATGTGCGCACCCGGGATTCCCATCCATAGGAGCAAAGAAGAAGAAGACGCGATGCGTGCATCAGAGCTTCCCGTACCGAAGAGCAAGCTTGAAAAACAAGAAGCCTCAAGCAAGATAGCTGTGCCCGATCAAGCAAAGGCGTGCAAGGAGTCTGAGACATCCAACGATCCGAGCCCTTCGACTGCGGCCGACGTTCTCTCCAGCTTGGTGAGCGTCCTGAAGGACCAGAACAAGCAGAGCCACCTCCCGCTCATCGAACCAGGCGTGTTCTCGGGGAGCATCGACAAGTTCCCGCTCTGGTTGAAGGCCTTCGAGACGTACGTCGAGCACCGAACGTCAAGTCCAGTGGAGCGCCTGCACTTCCTCAGCAGATATACGGAAGGAGATGCTCACAGCGCCATCGCCGGATTCCTGCACCTGAGGACAAGTGACGCCTACGTGAAGGCCAAGGAGAAGCTCGTCGCTCGATATGGGAACGACTTCCTCATAGCCAGCAGCTACCTGAAGCGCCTGAGGGAGTGGTCGGCAGTGAAGTCCGGGGACAGTAAAGGACTCCAACGATTGGCAGACTTCTTGGAGCACTGTCACATGGCGTCTTCGGCCATCCCAGGTATGAGAGCGCTGGATGATCCGCACACGATCCAGATGGTACTGAAGAAGCTCCCTGTCTATATCGCGGACAGGTGGAAGCGCCTCGTCGACTCCAGCGTCTACGGACCGACGCCGCACTACCCAAGCTTCGCTGACTTCGTTCAGCTCGTCTCTACGGAGGGGCGTATCGCCTGTGGTCCGGTGAGCAGCGGCGCGCAGTCTGAAGAGAGCCCACCTGCAAGGAACATCCGTGGCAAGGCGCATGCGTTCACATCAAGTCACGAGAAGTGTGAAGCGTGTGGGCACCAAAGCGAGGAGCAACGGGCCACCCAGCAAGTCACGACCGCACGAGCAGTACGCCGCCCGTGTGTCATCTGTACCGAACCCCACGACGTGCACACATGCAAGAAGTTCATGGCCTTGCGCCTTGACGAGCGCAAAGAAGAGGTCATGAAGAAGAGGCTATGCAGAGGGTGCCTGAAGCCAGGACACATTTGGCGTGACTGTCGAAGAAGAGATAAGTGCGACAAGTGCCAGATGTCGCACCCAACGCTGCTGCACGATGACAAGCTCATGAAGACGACAGCGAGCGCAGGCAGTCACGACAAGACAAGTAGCGGCAAGCAGCATGGCGGCGACACACAGGTGAAGGCATCTTCTCTGCGATCTACCGCTCAGAGCACCGGGGATGTCGGAGTGTCCAATTGCCACACTATGATAGTTCCCGTGAAGCTGTATCACGAAAATCAACCGGAGCAGCCCATCATCACCTACGCTCTGCTGGACCCGCAATCGGACGCAAGTTTCGTGACGGAGGCCCTCTGCGACGTCCTCCAGCCAGAGAGTACAGAAGTGGAGCTTCAGCTAAGCACATTGAACGGACGCAAAATCGTCAGGTGCTCGTCGGTGTCCGGACTAGTTGTGGAGAGCTCGGAAGGGGGACCGGCAGTGGACCTCCCTACGCTCTACTCACGTCACGAGATCCCAGCAGACCGAGAGCTGATACCCCGACGGGAAACGTGCCTCAAGTGGCCGCACCTTCGTCAGGTGGCAGAGAAGATGCCGGAATACCACGCAGAGGCAGAGATAGGACTCCTTCTGGGAGTCAACTGTCCGCGCATCATCAAGCCCAGAGAAGTTATTCCCGGCGAAGAGGACGATCCGTGGGCCGTGCGTACGCTTCTCGGATGGGGCATCGTGGGATGTGTCAGCGAGGGTGAGCCGACGGGATGCTTCTACGTCGGCACAGGTCAGGGAAAGAAGATGTGCCACTTCGCATACCGGACTCGGGTGAAGGATGTCAGCTTACGGCAGGTCCAACAGGTCTTCGACAGCGGCTTCTTCGACCAGAGACAAGAGAAGACAGTGTCGCAAGAAGATCAGCAGTTCATCAAGATGATGACCAGCGGCATGCACCAAGTGGAAGGAGGCCACTACGAAGCGCCTCTTCCGATGAAGGACGAGAAGACAATGCCAGACAATAGGGATCTCGCGGTCGCCAGACTGTCTCAGCTCAAGAGGAGGCTCCTTCGAGACGAGAAGCTGCGCGACGAGTACACAGCTTTCATGAGCGATCTTCTCTTGAAGGGATACGCTGAGCCGGTTCCGGACGACGGACAGATGGAAACGGGCATGATCAACTATGTGCCACATCACGGAGTCTACCACGAGAAGAAGGGCAAGTTGAGAGTCGTGTTCGACTGCAGCGCGATGTGCAAGAACGACTGCCTGAATAGCCACCTCCTCCAGGGCCCAGACGTCAACAACGACCTCACTGGCATCTTGGTGCGGTTCAGAGAGGCCCCCGTGGCATTCAGTGGCGACATCGAGGGCATGTTCCACCAAGTGCGCGTCAACCCAGAGCATCGTGACCTTCTCCGGTTTCTCTGGTGGGACAACGGAGACCTCAACGAACAGCCTCGAGAGTACCGCATGTGCACTCACCTCTTCGGAGCCACCAGTTCTCCAGCGGTCGCTTTGTTTGCTCTGAAGAAGACGGCCGCCACGTACGGAGAGGAGTTCTCGCCCGAGGCCGCGTCCTTTGTGGAGCGGAACTTCTACATCGACGATGGAGTGGCTTCAACGAAGACTACGGAAGAGGCGGTGCAACTGATACAAGACGCGGCTGGTCTCTGCCTGAAGGGGGGTTTCAAACTCCACAAGTTTACCTCGAACGACAGGGACGTCTTGAAGACACTACCTGTGTACAGCTTGTCCAAGAGCTGTCAAGCTGCGCTGGACGAGGAGCTGCCTCTCCCGCGTGAACGCGTCCTGGGACTGAACTGGGACATGGATGACGACACGCTCTGCATCGACGTGACCCTGCCCTGCAAGCCGGCAACCAGAAGGGGCATATTGTCATCCGTGAGTACGATCTACGATCCTCTCGGGCTCATCTCTCCGTGCATTCTTGTGGCCAAGAACATCCTGAAACGGTTGTGCGTGAACAAGTACAGCTGGGACGACTTGATTCCGGAGGACATGGAGCGAGAATGGCGTCTCTGGAAAGAAGACATAGAGCGCCTGTCCACATTGAAGATCCCACGCTGCTACGTCACGACGGAACTCGGTGAAGTTGAGAGATATGAGGTCCACCACTTCTCGGACGCGAGCTACGATGGATGTGGGCAGTGCTCGTACCTCAGGACCATCTACAAGAACGACAAGATCACCAGCATGTTGATAATGTCAAAGGCCAGAGTCACGCCTGTCAGAGCCGTGACGATCCCGCGACTGGAGCTGGTGGGCGCCCTGATGTCGGCGAAGGTGAGCTCTTTCCTCAGGAACGAGCTGGCGATTGGCGACTACCAGGAGTACTACTGGACTGACAGCCGTGCCGTGCTCGGCTACATACGGAACGAGACGAAGAGGTTCCACGTCTTCGTCGCCAACAGGGTCGAAGACATCAGGCAGCTCTCGGAACCGTCACAGTGGCGCTACATCGATTCGAAGAGTAACCCAGCGGATCTTGCGTCCCGGGGAGCAAGCGCCAGTGAGCTGCTGACCAGCAGTCTGTGGTGGCATGGCCCATCCCTACTAACAGCGAGCATTGAGCTCCCAGCCATGGAAGAAGAGTTCAACGTACAGAGCGACGACCCTGAAGTGAAGCGAGCTTCCTTCCAAGCCGCCATCTCGAAGCCACCAGAAGACGAGAAGAAGCTTCCAACCGACGGGCGACAGAGAGACCAGGGCGGCGACACAGAAGAAGATCGACAAGACGTTGCCGAATCAGACGATCAGCGCGATGAGCGATCACCGGCAGGACCCGTGCGAGGACGCGACCGACTACAGGGAAATGAAGACAACACACTCGCGAAGCGCCTGAGCTACTTTTCGAGCTGGCACAGGGCGAAGAAAGCTGTGGCTTCGTGCCGACGCTACACAGCCATCCTGGCAAGTAAAGCAAGCTCGAACAGAAGTGTGGCCGGCGCCAGAGTCTACACCCCAGTCGAGAGAACGACAGTGGATGAGCTGCTTCAAGCTGAACAAGTGATTTTGAAGTCAGTCCAGAAGAGCGCCTTCGAAGAAGAGCTCACAGTGCTGAGGACGCAGCAAGAGAACAGAGACGACGAAGAACATGCAGACCTGGGAGAGGAAACCAAGAAACGCAGAAGAAAGAGTGACAGAAGGTGTCGGACTGTGAAGCGCAGTAGCCCGCTGTACAAGCTGGATCCCTTCCTCCGAGCTGACGGGCTAATCTGCGTCGGAGGACGAATGAAGAACAGCACTCTGCCGAAGGAAGAGGTCCATCCAGTGATACTTCCGAGGAAGAACCACGTGACGGAACTCATCGTGCGAGAGTGTCACGAAAGGACGTGTCATGGCGGTCGCGGCTCGACGCTGAACGAGCTCCGCGCCTCTGGGTATTGGGTGATTGGTGGCCGTTCCGCAGTGAGCAGTTACATCTTCGACTGCGTCAAGTGCAAGAGACTCCGCGGAAGTCCGCTGACACAGAAGATGGCCGACCTGCCACCGGAGAGAACAGAGCCAGCCGAACCCTTCAGCCACTGTGCAGTCGACTGTTTCGGGCCTTTCTACGTGAAAGAGAAAAGAAGTGAGGTCAAGCGCTGGGGAATACTCTTCAGCTGTCTGGCGTCCCGCTCCATCCATCTAGAATCGGTCAACTCACTCTCTGCCGACTCTTTCCTGAACGCTGTCAGGCGGTTTGCTTGTCGGAGAGGACCCATTCGCAAGCTGTTCTGTGACAATGGGACGAATTTCGTGGGAGGTAAGAACATGCTGGAGGGGGCGCTGAAGGAGGAGGATCATGTCAAGATCAGAGGAGAGCTGCTCAAGAAGGACTGCGACTGGTTCGAGTTCCGGTTCAACGTTCCGATGGCAAGTTCCATGGGAGGGGCTTGGGAGCGTATGATCAGGAGCGTGAGGTCGGCGCTGACTCCGCTGATCATGGCTCATGGCCACACACTGGACGACGAGCTGTTCCGGACGTTGCTGACAGAGTGTGAAGCGATCGTCAACAGCCGTCCGATCTCGTACTTCAGCGGAGCGCCGGACGATACTCTCCTCCCCCTGAGCCCGAACCAGATACTAACACTAAAGAGTAGAGTAGCCGTGCCTTATCCCGGTAGCTTCTCCCAGACCGACCTGTACGTGCGTCAGCGCTGGAGGCGTGTCCAGTTTCTGGCGGACCAGTTCTGGCGACGATGGAGGCGTGAGTTCCTGCCGACCCTGCAGGAACGCCACAAGTGGGCGCAACGTCGCCGTAACCTGCAGCCCGGAGACGTCGTGGCCGTCGTCGACGACGACGAGCCGCGCTCACGGTGGCCGCTCGGCCGCATCGTGTGTGTGTACCCGAGCGCCGATGGACTGATCCGCAAAGTGTGCGTACGAATCGGTTCCAGTGACTACGACCGGCCGGTGAATCGCCTGATTCTCCTGCTGCACGACCGGGAAGATTCCCAGACGGGGAGCCACGAGGTCCAGTGATCGATGCGCGTGAGAGACGCGCAGGTGTGAAAGTGAACGCTACCGACGCTCAGTGACGCGTGCGCGAGCGATTCGATATCCCGGAGGTCACGTTTGGACGAGTGCGCGCCGTTCGCGATCGAGGCGTTAGAAGTCTGCGGTTTCGGCTCGGTGATGAATGGTGTATCCGAGGTAGCAGGGTACATCCGTTCGTACGTTTCCGTGTGAATCGTCCGCGTTGCTGAGTGCCGTTGCTGTGTTACCACCGGGTGATGCTGCTACAGAAGATTGTTTTTTGATTTCGTGGATGAGAGGATTGCAGGAAATTTGTGATCCACAAATTTGGGGAGCCATGTAACTGCGTAGCAGTTGTATCTGACTTTGGTTTCTCCTCATTTGCAGGTTCGCCAGCCATTGAATGAGCGCTAATTGAGCTGGGCGGCTATTTGTTTGTTTCTTTGTTGCGCATTGAGCGACTGGAAGGAGTGACTGTGGAGACAGCACACTGTTGTCACTCGAGGTACCTGGAAAGAGTACGTTTCTATTTTTCTCTAGTCATTTCCATTGTATCGTTCGTCGCGATTTGGCTTCACCATGTGTTAATAATTTTTTCGCGCTATCATTCTGTTACAAAGTACAAGCGTACTGGTTTCGATTATTTATCATGCGTTTACCAAAGTTTCGACTGAACGTTCGCCACATTTTCATGTGTCACATTTAACGCGAAGTGTGTATGTGAGTGTGAATGTGTGCGCTTTATTGCTGAGGGAGCATTATTTAACCCATTTTCTCATGTGTGTGATTGACAGGTTTTTACGGTGACTGGTGTTACCAACCCAAGGTTCTCTGTCATTACCCCACATTACTGGATCCCAATACATGTGCTCTATCCCAATGCATCCAGTAGTTTGAGTTTTGATTGACGGTGGTGGCGGAGGCCGCATCAGCAAGAAACTCATTTACCTACACAACCCACAATTAATTCTGCCTGCATGGATTCACTATTGTTTAACAAGCAGTAAGCGTGTGCAAATGTTAAGGAGAGAGCAAACCGTAAAAATTACTAACCAATTTCATCGATTTTATTCAATAACACCTACCCACCACAGTGCATAACATCCACAGTGCAATTCTCACGTGGTCGCAGAGTGCAACGATACAAAGTCTTGTATTCTGAATCCTGTCGTCCGGCAATTTTTAGCGAATCAGCAATGGTTTTGGCGAAAGACAAATGTTCATTGGCCAATGCATTTGATGACGTTTCGAAAAATAATTCGCTAATATGACTAAATTTATGCTGCTTATGTATGTATCATTTTACACAAATTGTTGTTTTTAGCCTTTTCTCAATAATCGATCAAGGTGAACTTCAAAGGACTAAAAAAATAACGTAAATTGCTATCAAGAAGGTAAGTAGGTCATGATTTTGCGGTACCAATATTCTCGATTGAATACGATGTGTTAAAGTTAAAACTCAACGTGGCAGAAAATGACGTCAAATATGATAACAATTCTTATTTTATTGAACAAAAGGTGAAAAATTGTATTATCCTCCTCGGAATCATCATTTCATTTACAAAACAGCTTGACCTTATTAGTTTAGCAAGAAAAAAGGCTGTTTTTATACATTGAATAAATATTTCAAGGTATTTGTGGTAAATGTCCTAGCAGCGCATTATATGTCTAAAGTAAATGATTCTAGCATATGCATAATGCAATTTATTCAAGGCCAAAAAGCTATAGGAGCTGTGGGGTTTTGTTGTGCGGTAGATTTCCACAAGGCCATCTATAGAAGGTACAGTCACTCCCCCGTCGACCAATCAGAGACAGATCCTGAGTGACGTCACCCCTGATGCTCGAAAGGGGTACTCCATTCCTTTACAACGTAAAAATGACTAACTTCATTTGAAGATTGTTGGTGACACTCTACACATATCGCTCAACTATTGATGTCATTAGAAAGTCCAGCTAATTTTCTAGCGATAAAAAAGAGCAGCAATATGCTAAGAAATGGCCGGTTTTGAAGATATGGACGATTTAAAAACCCTCTGCAGCAGCAGGAAAGCAACGTAAAAACGCATCGAGCTTATATTTTTACTATGAATAAATCATTTTTCAGTAAGTTTTTAGATATGGTATCGATTTATTCAACAACTTTATTAAAATATTTTTATTACTTTGAACTTTATTTCAAAATAATATTTTCAAAAATGGCAATTGTTGGCAAGTAGCTTTGAAGCAATTGTGGCGCGCCGCGCCATTATTGTCCTGAGGCCCCCATATGATGTCATCAAAAGTGGAGTGACATGGGCCTGGATTTCCAGATGTTTTGGTAAAAGTAGCTTGAAGCTGTAACATTATTTGTTTTTGTGTGATAATTTATAAACTTAAAGTACATTTTAATGTTGTTTGAAGCAAATGAAGGTACTTACCTACCTACTAAACTGATAAATGATTTTTTTTTTGGTTCAGTTCAAATTGAGTCTGAGACCTAGGTAGCCTGAGCCTGGGTTTACTTAGGTACCTTGTTTACTCACCTTGTGGGCTTCCTCCCACAAATGTGATACTCGATTCAACTAACCCCGCATTTGATGTCTCTGAGACGACAAAGATTCCATGTCCTCCAGCCAATCCCGCTCAAGGTCAGGGGGCTTGGCTGCGGTTATGGAACATGATTGGCCAGACGATGTAGAATCTTTGTTGATTGAGAGACCTTGAACCCGGGATAAAGCTTAATTAAATCACTATGAGAATGCTGGAAACCAAGGTCCTGGAAACAAATCTATCCACTCCACACTCCACAGACCTCTGACTGGAGTTTGTCAAAAAGTAATGTCAATTGTTCTGTCTGGAGCCAGATTGCAGTCACGGCTGTTTTTCAGAAGCTTGAGTCTGAGTCAGACACCAAAAAATTAATCGACCCATCAGTCTAAAGTAGGTAAACAGTGATGATCAACAAATCACCTTCACTTATGTTTGTAGAAATCATAGAGCCCTCTTTCAGCCCTTTTCTTATACTTCCTGCCTTTTAATTGACGATGTTTTCATCAGAAGATTTTCTTTTCAGCTTGTGATGTCCTAGTCTAGCAGAAACAGCAGCATGTGGTGGGGTGGCAGCGAGGGTGCCGAGGCTGCCACCGAGGCAGTCGAGGCAAACCCAGAAATGGAGGATATGAAAGAGCAGTTTGAGATGCAACAGAACCTTATCAAACAGCTGAAAGACATGGTGAAAACTCACCAGACACAGCTTCAGGAGAAAGAACAGCAAGTCCAGGTATGTGTTGAACACTCAACTAGCCAGGCAGTGACATGTCAGGCTGCAAGCATGGTGTTTTTATGTCCAAAATGTGCTCATCTGGTTGGGAATGCATGCCAGACATTTGGGGATATGAACCTAAGGAAGCATATTGAAAGTATTTTGCAATTCAACTGCAGTGTCAACTATGGATCTCACAGAATATATCACTGCATTCAACTCTGTTCTGTTTGAGAATTGCTGTAGATGATAGAGCAGACCTCTTGTTTTGGGCCAAGAACATCACAGAAGCAATAGAATGAAGACATATTGCAATCAATGATGTCCTTGTATTGCTGATATCCATTGAGTCACAAGGCAGCCCATTCTAGTGCATGCAGGATGCCTCCTGACAACCCATGCCAAACTGTACTACATTTGTATTTTTGACCGACCCTCTCTCTGGTGTCTGCACAGCGGCTGAGTGTGGCCGGGACCGAGCAGAGCTCCCAGCTGGCTTCGCTCAGTGAACAGGTGGCGGCCCTGGAGGAGGACGGGGCCGGCCCCGGCGGTCCCGCGCCGCCCGCCGGCTCACAGCCGCGCCGACAGAGGCTGCTCGAGATCAAACGGCAGCTGGAGGAGCAAAGGTCAGTGGACGGGTCCGTCAATGGACGGGACGAACGATGGTCGGTTCTCGCGGTCGAGGAACGGTTTAAAGTATGCCTATCCAACTGCGTTTGTATCGTTATACGACGATCAGTCAGCAGCGAGTGCTGAAATCGCCCTGAAGTCGTAAACGTCTCCGCAGAATTGTTTGAGGAATAGTGATTGACATTATTGTCACCTATGTTTTCGCGTAGCGTCAGTCCGGCGTTTTTTTTTTTCGACAGAAGAGTTACGAAATCCAGTAACATCCCCTCGACGCGACTGTTATTAACCCTCGCCCGCACATGCCATTTTCCCATCCTAGAACGCACATGGGGGGGGGGGTGGTTGCCACCCCCCCGCGCCATTTCGTTCCTGTTGGAGATAGAGCTTAGCAGTAAAGACCAAAAAGATTCTTTGGGAAGAGACGAATCCAATGATACCCAGTTTTACCTTCTCAGGTCAGTCATTGACCTTCCAGGTCAGGTCAAACTAAAAAATGTTGCTGTTTTGGGTCACCGTTGGATATCAAGTGTGCTGCTTATCAAATACCGATGACGATGCTGTTTTCTGGTGCCAAGCCAGCTAGAACCTCTTTGTCACACTACCCGACCAGAATTTTGCTGCTGAGGTCATTTCAGGTCAAGTTAGGTCAAGGTCAATTATATGTGTTTGTATGTCTGTGTGTGTCTGTGTGTATACTGATGTGTGCACCGATTGTTTTTGGGTCCATATTACATGAAATCATGATCTGAGAAGCTTTTACCAAAAATGCAGTCAAAAAACTTAAAAAAAGTAAATTCAGCTTGCCTAAAACGCAATTATCTTAGGTGACCTAGGTTGACCTTGACCCTGACCTTGACCCCTTTACATCGTCAAACAACATGTTCCATGATAGGTAGGAGGTAAGACTGGCAAAAAAGGCCGAAATCAGGGTGTCAAAAGCTCATAAGGCCCATGGCAAACGCAAGATGTTGAGAATTGGCCATTTGGGTCATGACATGACCTGAAAAATAAGGTCATATCTCCGAAACCAAAATTCACAGAAACTTGAAATTTTCAGTGGACATAAAGATGTCCGTGAAGTTAGCGTCAGCAACAGCAACGAATACAGCGTCGGATTCAGAATCGCTTAAAAAACTCATATTTGGTCAATTGGGGGACGGGGAGCAAGAATATGACCTTTATTTGGCCCTAGCTCTTACCCCTTACCCCTTAATCGGCCCTTAAAGGAAGGGGCGCGCCAAAAGTGCCTCAAGGGTTCGTCTGATCGCCAAAATAAGGGTCGCAATCGATTCCTCGGGTCAATATCTAGCCGCAGCCTCGGGTTCCAGATGTGTGCAACTTACCCCTTACCCCTTAATCGGCCCTTAAAGGAAGGGGCGCGTCAAAAGTGCCTCAAGGGTTCGTCTGATCGCCAAAATAAGGGTCGCAATCGATTCCCCGGGTCAATATCTAGCCGCAGCCTCGGGTTCCAGATGTGTGCAACTTACCCCTTACCCCTTAATCGGCCCTTAAAGGAAGGGGCGCGTCAAAAGTGCCTCAAGGATTCGTCTGATCGCCAAAATAAGGGTCGCAATCGATTCCTCGGGTCAATATCTAGCCGCAGCCTCGGGTTCCAGATGTGTGCAACTTACCCCTTACCCCTTAATCGGCCCTTAAAGGAAGGGGCGCGTCAAAAGTGCCTCAAGGATTCGTCTGATCGCCAAAATAACGGTCGCAATCGATTCCTCGGGTCAATATCTAGCCGCAGCCTCGGGTTGCAGATGTGTGCAACTTACCCCTTACCCCTTAATCGGCCCTTAAAGGAAGGGGCGCGTCAAAAGTGCCTCAAGGGTTCGTCTGATCGCCAAAATAAGGGTCGCAATCGATTCCCCGGGTCAATATCTAGCCGCAGCCTCGGGTTCCAGATGTGTGCAACTTACCCCTTACCCCTTAATCGGCCCTTAAAGGAAGGGGCGCGTCAAAAGTGCCTCAAGGGTTCGTCTGATCGCCAAAATAAGGGTCGCAATCGATTCCTCGGGTCAATATCTAGCCGCAGCCTCGGGTTCCAGATGTGTGCAACTTACCCCTTACCCCTTAATCGGCCCTTAAAGGAAGGGGCGCGTCAAAAGTGCCTCAAGGGTTCGTCTGATCGCCAAAATAAGGGTCGCAATCGATTCCTCGGGTCAATATCTAGCCGCAGCCTCGGGTTCCAGATGTGTGCAACTTACCCCTTACCCCTTAATCGGCCCTTAAAGGAAGGGGCGCGTCAAAAGTGCCTCAAGGGTTCGTCTGATCGCCAAAATAACGGTCGCAATCGATTCCCCGGGTCAATATCTAGCCGCAGCCTCGGGTTGCAGATGTGTGCAACTTACCCCTTACCCCTTAATCGGCCCTTAAAGGAAGGGGCGCGTCAAAAGTGCCTCAAGGGTTCGTCTGATCGCCAAAATAAGGGTCGCAATCGATTCCTCGGGTCAATATCTAGCCGCAGCCTCGGGTTCCAGATGTGTGCAACTTACCCCTTACCCCTTAATCGGCCCTTAAAGGAAGGGGCGCGTCAAAAGTGCCTCAAGGATTCGTCTGATCGCCAAAATAAGGGTCGCAATCGATTCCTCGGGTCAATATCTAGCCGCAGCCTCGGGTTCCAGATGTGTGCAACTTACCCCTTACCCCTTAATCGGCCCTTAAAGGAAGGGGCGCGTCAAAAGTGCCTCAAGGGTTCGTCTGATCGCCAAAATAAGGGTCGCAATCGATTCCTCGGGTCAATATCTAGCCGCAGCCTCGGGTTCCAGATATGTGCAACTTACCCCTTACCCCTTAATCGGCCCTTAAAGGAAGGGGCGCGTCAAAAGTGCCTCAAGGGTTCGTCTGATCGCCAAAATAACGGTCGCAATCGATTCCCCGGGTCAATATCTAGCCGCAGCCTCGGGTTCCAGATGTGTGCAACTTACCCCTTACCCCTTAATCGGCCCTTAAAGGAAGGGGCGCGTCAAAAGTGCCTCAAGGGTTCGTCTGATCGCCAAAATAACGGTCGCAATCGATTCCCCGGGTCAATATCTAGCCGCAGCCTCGGGTTCCAGATGTGTGCAACTTACCCCTTACCCCTTAATCGGCCCTTAAAGGAAGGGGCGCGCCAAAAGTGCCTCAAGGGTTCGTCTGATCGCCAAAATAAGGGTCGCAATCGATTCCTCGGGTCAATATCTAGCCGCAGCCTCGGGTTCCAGATATGTGCAACTTACCCCTTACCCCTTAATCGGCCCTTAAAGGAAGGGGCGCGTCAAAAGTGCCTCAAGGGTTCGTCTGATCGCCAAAATAAGGGTCGCAATCGATTCCCCGGGTCAATATCTAGCCGCAGCCTCGGGTTCCAGATGTGTGCAACTTACCCCTTACCCCTTAATCGGCCCTTAAAGGAAGGGGCGCGTCAAAAGTGCCTCAAGGATTCGTCTGATCGCCAAAATAAGGGTCGCAATCGATTCCTCGGGTCAATATCTAGCCGCAGCCTCGGGTTCCAGATGTGTGCAACTTACCCCTTACCCCTTAATCGGCCCTTAAAGGAAGGGGCGCGTCAAAAGTGCCTCAAGGATTCGTCTGATCGCCAAAATAAGGGTCGCAATCGATTCCTCGGGTCAATATCTAGCCGCAGCCTCGGGTTCCAGATGTGTGCAACTTACCCCTTACCCCTTAATCGGCCCTTAAAGGAAGGGGCGCGTCAAAATTGCCTCAAGGGTTCGTCTGATCGCCAAAATAAGAGTCGCAATCGATTCCTCGGTTCAATATCTAGCCGCAGCCTCGGGTTCCAGATGTGTGCAACTTACCCCTTACTCCTTAATCGGCCCTTAAAGGAAGGGGCGCGTCAAAAGTGCCTCAAGGGTTCGTCTGATCGCCAAAATAACGGTCGCAATCGATTCCCCGGGTCAATATCTAGCCGCAGCCTCGGGTTCCAGATGTGTGCAACTTACCCCTTACCCCTTAATCGGACCTTAAAGGAAGGGGCGCGTCAAAAGTGCCTCAAGGATTCGTCTGATCGCCAAAATAAGGGTCGCAATCGATTCCTCGGGTCAATATCTAGCCGCAGCCTCGGGTTCCAGATGTGTGCAACTTACCCCTTACCCCTTAATCGGCCCTTAAAGGAAGGGGCGCGTCAAAAGTGCCTCAAGGGTTCGTCTGATCGCCAAAATAAGGGTCGCAATCGATTCCCCCTTCCTTTAAGGGCCGATTAAGGGGTAAGGGGTAAGTTGCACACATCTGGAACCCGAGGCTGCGGCTAGATATTGACCCGAGGAATCGATTGCGACCCTTATTTTGGCGATCAGACGAACCTTTGAGGCACTTTTGACGCGCCCCTTCCTTTAAGGGCCGATTAAGGGGTAAGGGGTAAGTTGCACACATCTGGAACCCGAGGCTGCGGCTAGATATTGACGCGAGGAATCGATTGCGACCCTTATTTTGGCGATCAGACGAATCCTTGAGGCACTTTTGACGCGCCCCTTCCTTTAAGGGCCGATTAAGGGGTAAGGGGTAAGTTGCACACATCTGGAACCCGAGGCTGCGGCTAGATATTGACCCGAGGAATCGATTGCGACCCTTATTTTGGCGATCAGACGAACCCTTGAGGCACTTTTGACGCGCCCCTTCCTTTAAGGGCCGATTAAGGGGTAAGGGGTAAGTTGCACACATCTGGAACCCGAGGCTGCGGCTAGATATTGACCCGGGGAATCGATTGCGACCCTTATTTTGGCGATCAGACGAACCCTTGAGGCACTTTTGACGCGCCCCTTCCTTTAATTGCCGATTAAGGGGTAAGGGGTAAGTTGCACACATCTGGAACCCGAGGCTGCGGCTAGATATTGACCCGAGGAATCGATTGCGACCCTTATTTTGGCGATCAGACGAACCCTTGAGGCACTTTTGGCGAACCCCTTCCTTTAATGGGCCGATTAAGGGGTAAGGGGTAAGTTGCACACATCTGGAACCCGAGGCTGCGGCTAGATATTGACCCGGGGAATCGATTGCGACCCTTATTTTGGCGATCAGACGAACCCTTGAGGCACTTTTGACGCGCCCCTTCCTTTAAGGGCCGATTAAGGGGTAAGGGGTAAGTTGCACACATCTGGAACCCGAGGCTGCGGCTAGATATTGACCCGGGGAATCGATTGCGACCCTTATTTTGGCGATCAGACGAACCCTTGAGGCACTTTTGACGCGCCCCTTCCTTTAAGGGCCGATTAAGGGGTAAGGGGTAAGTTGCACACATCTGGAACCCGAGGCTGCGGCTAGATATTGACCCGGGGAATCGATTGCGACCGTTATTTTGGCGATCAGACGAACCCTTGAGGCACTTTTGACGCGCCCCTTCCTTTAAGGGCCGATTAAGGGGTAAGGGGTAAGTTGCACACATCTGGAACCCGAGGCTGCGGCTAGATATTGACCCGGGGAATCGATTGCGACATTTATTTTGGCGATCAGACGAACCCTTGAGGCACTTTTGACGCGCCCCTTCCTTTAAGGGCCGATTAAGGGGTAAGGGGTAAGTTGCACACATCTGGAACCCGAGGCTGCGGCTAGATATTGACCCGAGGAATCGATTGCGACCCTTATTTTGGCGATCAGACGAACCCTTGAGGCACTTTTGACGCGCCCCTTCCTTTAAGGGCCGATTAAGGGGTAAGGGGTAAGTTGCACACATCTGGAACCCGAGGCTGCGGCTAGATATTGACGCGAGGAATCGATTGCGACCCTTATTTTGGCGATCAGACGAATCCTTGAGGCACTTTTGACGCGCCCCTTCCTTTAAGGGCCGATTAAGGGGTAAGGGGTAAGTTGCACACATCTGGAACCCGAGGCTGCGGCTAGATATTGACCCGAGGAATCGATTGCGACCGTTATTTTGGCGATCAGACGAACCCTTGAGGCACTTTTGACGCGCCCCTTCCTTTAAGGGCCGATTAAGGGGTAAGGGGTAAGTTGCACACATCTGGAACCCGAGGCTGCGGCTAGATATTGACCCGAGGAATCGATTGCGACCCTTATTTTGGCGATCAGACGAACCCTTGAGGCAATTTTGACGCGCCCCTTCCTTTAAGGGCCGATTAAGGGGTAAGGGGTAAGTTGCACACATCTGGAACCCGAGGCTGCGGCTAGATATTGACCCGAGGAATCGATTGCGACCCTTATTTTGGCGATCAGACGAATCCTTGAGGCACTTTTGACGCGCCCCTTCCTTTAAGGGCCGATTAAGGGGTAAGGGGTAAGTTGCACACATCTGGAACCCGAGGCTGCGGCTAGATATTGACCCGAGGAATCGATTGCGACCCTTATTTTGGCGATCAGACGAACCCTTGAGGCACTTTTGACGCGCCCCTTCCTTTAAGGGCCGATTAAGGGGTAAGGGGTAAGTTGCACACATCTGGAACCCGAGGCTGCGGCTAGATATTGACCCGGGGAATCGATTGCGACCCTTATTTTGGCGATCAGACGAACCCTTGAGGCACTTTTGACGCGCCCCTTCCTTTAAGGGCCGATTAAGGGGTAAGGGGTAAGTTGCACACATCTGGAACCCGAGGCTGCGGCTAGATATTGACCCGAGGAATCGATTACGACCCTTATTTTGGCGATCAGACGAACCCTTGAGGCACTTTTGGCGCGCCCCTTCCTTTAAGGGCCGATTAAGGGGTAAGGGGTAAGTTGCACACATCTGGAACCCGAGGCTGCGGCTAGATATTGACCCGGGGAATCGATTGCGACCGTTATTTTGGCGATCAGACGAACCCTTGAGGCACTTTTGACGCGCCCCTTCCTTTAAGGGCGGATTAAGGGGTAAGGGGTAAGAGCTAGGGCCAAATAAAGGTCATATTCTTGCTCCCCGTCCCCCAATTGACCAAATATGAGTTTTTTAAGCGATTCTGAATCCGACGCTGTATTCGTTGCTGTTGCTGACGCTAACTTCACGGACATGACATAAAGAAAGGATAGAGGAGCAGCTATACGAAAAATCAGCCTTCTAGCTCTAAAAATGTTGAGTGCAGAGCAGAAAGACTACCTGGGGGGGGGGGGGGGTGGCAACCACCCCCCCCCCCCCCCCATGTGCGGGCGAGGGTTAAATACCCCGAAGACTCGGCGTGACACGATGCTCGCATCTCCAGGCGGGCGCAGGAGGAGCGTGCTCGTGAGCCGCGAGCCGACATCACCGCCATGGTGCGCCGGCTACAGGAGCGTATCGAGGACCCCGACTACCGGTATGACTCATGTGACTCGGCCGAGTCCGGGTCCGACGGCGAGATGGAGCTGGGCACCTCGCCTCGGAAGGTAGGTAGTTGGGCAGGGTGAGCTCTCACTTATTAGGTATCCCAGTGTGGGTTGGAACTATGGATAAACCCTGCCTCCATGTCGCTGATTCCATGGCAGTCTTTTTGGAATGGCAGAAATTCAATGGTAGAAATTTTGGTGAACTGTGAAAGAATCTGCTTACTTTCTATGTCCATTGTTGCAGTGGCTGTTTGTACGTGTTATCCATTTTGTTGCCAGAACCGTCGACGTTCAGTCACGACTCTGTGTCTTGTGTTTTCCTCCGGCAGTCTATGACGCTGAGTGACTCCATCAGAGAGAAACCTCCCGAGGAGCTCTACGGAATCATCCTGTCAAAGGACAATCACATATACGAGTTGTCCGACAAAGTGTCACAGCTGGAAGCCACGGTTGTGGATCTGAAGGTAAGATGTTATTTATGACTGCTTCTACATTTGTGTAACTGGAAATAGTGCGATGCTGTGAAAAAGTGCATGGTTTTCCACAACATTACACTAAGGTGATAGTGAGCTTTGAGTCTTATTTTAACAAACGTACAAAATGAAGTTTGCAAGGAAGAGTACCTAGTTAATCTTACGTCGTCGTGTCCCTTCCAGGAGACGTTACATAAGTGATTACTGATTTATGATCTCTCATTTTGCAGCCGGGTGCCCTGCAGGAGAAATAGGCTGTAATCTCGGCGATGCAGCAGTCTGATATCTGATGTGTGACGTTCTCCCCGCAGGATACCCTGCAGGAGAAGGAGTCTGTGATCTCTGCGCGCACGGCGGCCGTGAACCTGGTGACGCGCGCGCTGACTGAGCGCGGCCAGGAGACGATGGACACGCTGGACGAGACGCGGCAGCAGATGCGCGACATGCAGGAGGCGTTCGCTGTGCACGAGGCCGACTGGAAGGTCCGCGAGGAGAAGCTCAGCCGGCAGCTGCAGACCGCCACCGACGCGTGAGTTGTCCAGTCACTCGTGCATACCTACCTGATGCTTCTCACACACTCCTGTTAGGTATACATAAGCTGATCTATGATTAGATGTGTATACAGAGGTCTATGGATGTGGTGAGTAATAGGCCGAATCATAGTAGTACTCGATGTTGGCTGGTGGCCAGCGATGTTGAAGGGCGCGTATACCACCGAGAGACACAATATTCGTGCACTCAACGCCATGAGCACTTCATGCCCTATCGCGGGGACAGTATGCCTCATGCCTCATGTGCTTTCATATCTGACTCGACAGCAGAAAAGCAGACCTCGTTTATTATAAGGTTGTGTCTTTGGGTTCCAGTCTGGAAACGGCAGAAGAAAACTACAAGAAGATCGAAGCTGCCAAGTTTGATTTGGTTATTGCAAACGCCAATCTGCAGGAGAAAGTTGTAAAACTACAGGCGTCTGCGAAAATCGAGGTAGGTAAAATCATCCGCAATCCACTCCATCTACGGTAGTGTGTTTCGTTTCCGAATGTGTCTGTTTGTTATTCTTCAGAATTGCTTATTTTGCTTTTCTGATATGTTAGCTGGGCTGCCAGATTGCTGAGCTATGACCTTTTTCTTGGCAACGACATCTCAGCTCTCTGGTACGCTCATGCTGTTTAAAGTCTGTTTTTCGTATCTTCTACCTTCACTCAAAGATGTTTTGTTCCTCCAGCACGTTTTTAGGGTACAGTTTTCAAATCTTGGCCGCATGGCCCACCACTCATTGCAGGAGTTTGTTGCTCGTGTTGGAGTTCGCCTTCGCTGCGCAGTTAAAAGTGGAAAAGAAACCTTTAAGCTAGACTATCGCTTGTATTATCGTTACCACGGTTTATTGGCTACCGACCTATACACAAGGACGTTTTGCTGTTCATAGGTACTTCCATTGTGCGAAGCGCTCTTGCTAAGAACATTTAAGGAATAGTTTAAAGCTTGCACTTCCTTTTCATTGGGTAAAAGAAAATAAATGTGTTATATGTTCTGCCATATTTTTTCAAATGCTTAATGTTTTGCTTTATTTACGTTGCGACAACTTTTACACCGACGAATAACAAGGCATACAAGGTGTACAGAGGTCTATGGCCAAGGGGACAGACGTTCGATCTTGCGTTCGAGATGAAAATTGACTTTGCACCGGTGTTGATTTAATTAGATGTTTGCTGGAGCACGTGATTAGAGAGTTTACCGTCTTTGAGTGAAGGTAGAAGATACGAAAAACAGACTATAGTATTTCTTAAAACAGTTATTAACAGTTTTTTTGCGAAACAATATGGTGTTATCGGTGCAATTTTTAGTTTGGCTGTGATATGGGTAGTAATTCATCTTCTACCTTCGCACCAGCTTGTGTAGAATGGCGGTCGTATGGTCGTATGGCTTCGACTGATCACAACCTAACCTCCGTGTCTGTGCGGGCAGTCGGGCCGCGCGGCGTCTCTCGACTCTGAACTCGCCGCCGTGAAGCGCGAGCTGGCCGAATCACAGAAGATGGTGTTTCGAGTGAAGTCGCAGAAGCGCCAGCGACTGGGGCAGCTGGAGGGCGAGACGGTGCAGCTGTCGGAGCGCTGTGCCCAGCTGGAGGCGGAGCTGGCGGAGCGGGCCGACACGACGGCACTGGAGGAGGAGCGGGACAGGCTCCAGCAGGGTGGGTGGACAGATGGGCCAGAGAAGGGCTGACGGCAGGGCATCGGAACTCTATCTTGGAACTAAGTTACTGGTTAGCATTTTATAATATCTGTTGATTAGTAACATAACATTTATGCACTTCATCGTTGGATGCATGCGTTCATAAAGGTCAGATGAATACCAGCTTCAATTGCATTAGTTTGCTTTGCATGTAGCCGTTGAACTGACTGTATTAGATCCATTACCGGCTGTCTGGCACGGTACAACCATTGACGCCGTTCCTGTTATCCCAACAGAGTCCTCTGAGCGACTGGCCGAGCTGACCGCCGTTACTAAGAAGCTGTGTGACTTGGAGCGGGCTCAGGCGGAGGCGGAGGGCCAGCGGGCGGAGCTGGAGGCCGCTGCCGAACAGCTGAGGGAGCAGCTCCGCACCAAGGACGCTCAGCTGACGGAGCTGGAGCAAAAGGTCAGGGTGATAGGCGATCAATGTGTCATACGGCTTCCTGCTCGGTCCGCAGCTGGTAATTTGTTAGTCACGCATTTCTCTGGGGTTGTACCTTTACGCACTCTCCTCCCTCCATCGAGAACAGATAGTGGTGACAAAGCTCACAAGGTCGCCTGGACAAGTTCTTTGTTCAATTATCGACGGAATTTGACGGGCAGATAGGTATTTTTAATTGCGTTTAAATGACGTTACTGTCAAATTTTGTTGATCTACAATGTCGCCATGTGCTCTTATCCGTCGTTGGTAGCAATATGAACATGAACCGTCTGTATTTAATTTTGATTCGTTTTGACGGTTGAATCCATGTCTTCCCAGGTGGAGGAGTTCACGTCCTCATCTGGCGAGTCGGACGCACTGCTCTCCAAACTGACTGCCGAGAAGGAGAACTTGGAGCAGCAGACTGCCGACCTGACGGCCGCCCTTCAGGAGACGAGGAACGCCCTGGAGGAAACCCAGCGGGAGCTGGACTCGAGCAGTGCTGGCAGAAGCGAGCTGGACAGGGAACGCGACGAGCTTAGGGCGAAATTGGCCGAGTGCGAGGAGAAGCTAGCTGACACGCAGGCACGGCTAACCGAGACAAATGCCAAGCTTGAGGAGACTGAGACCAAACTCTCAGAGACCGAGGTCAAACTGACGGAGATTGAGACCAAGCTGTCGGAAACTGAGACCAGGGTATCAGAGACTGAGACTCGGTTGTCAGAAGCTCTATCCGAGACAGACGCTCACCGTTCGTCCAGAGAGTCAGCTGAAACTAAGTTGAACGCCATTAGGACCCGCCTTGAAGAGAGCTCCGCCGAACTGGCCGCCATGAAGACTCAGTTGGCCGCTGCCAACGCGGGACCGGCGCCAATGACGACGGGTGCTTGGTTTGCGGATGCCTCCCCTCCGGCGGCTGACAGCCAGTTCGATCTCACGTCACAGGTGGTGAGCCAAACCCAGCAGAGCACTGCCGATGTGGCCAGCCAGGCGGACAAAGATACATCGGATGTGGCGAGTCAAGCTGAGAAGGATACCTCGGATGTTGGCAGCCAGGCGAAGAAAGATACGTCGGAGATGGGAAGTCAGGCGAAGAAGGATACTTCCGAAATGGCAAGCCAGGCGAAGAAGGATACTTCAGAGGCGGGTAGCCAGGCGGTCATGTCCAGCTCCGAATTCGGCGCCGAACACACTGCGGCTGAAACCTCCGAGGGTGTTTCGCCGACAGCGGCCATGGACGCGGGCTCAGCAGAGCCCTCGGACGGCTGGGACTCGTGGCCCGCCGAGGAGCCTGCCGGTGACGAGAGCAGCGCCTCGGCGCTACAGTCGCGGCTGGAGGTGCTCGCTACCGACCTGGAGACTGCTCGGCGCCGACTGCGGGAGAGCCACGCCGAGTGCGCGGCCATGCAGGAGGAGACGAATCGCCTGCAGCAGGCCGAGCGGGAGCTGGAGGAAGAGCGGCACCAGCTGCAGGGCCAGGTGGAGCAGCTGCAGACCCAGCTGCACAGCGCCGAGCAGCAGGTGGCTGAGCTGCAGTCCGGCAACAAACTGCTGCTGGAGAAACTGGAGACAGAGAAAGGACAGCATGAGCAGGAGCATACCCCGGAGACCATCGAAGTCGCCGGCGAACAGTCACAGGAAACCCTGAAGAAGATGGTGAAGAAGCTGAAGACCAAGCTGAAGCAGGAGCTGAAGGCGAAGGCGGCGCTGGAGGAAAAAATTGGTGTGCTAAAGTCCTGTGTGACCGAATTGCAGACAAGTGTTGCTGAGATGGAGCGGGCGTCGGCCTCGATGGAGGAGGAAGGTCGAACAGACACTGGAGCGGCTTTGGCTGAACTGCGAGCTCAGTATGACCTGGAAATTGCAGCGAGGCAGGCGGCCGAGCAGCAGTTGACGGAGGCGCGGGAGGCCCTGGAGGCTCTCCGAGCTCGTCAGGACGCTCCGCCAGAGCCACCGGTGGTCGTGGAGGAAGCGAAGGTGGAATCCGCAGAACCAGCGAGCGAGACTCCGCCGGCGGCCGCCGCCGCGGGTCCCGATCAGCAGAAGATGAAACTAATGAAGGCCAAGCTGCGGAAGGAGCTTCAGGCCAAGGCTGAGCTACAGAAGCAGCTGTCTGAGCGTGAGGCGACGTTAGAGGAAGTGCGTCACACTCTGACAGAGCGGGAGGCCTCCCTGGACGAGGTGCGTGCCCTGTTGGTCGACAAAGAGGCGGTCCTGGAAAGGAACGACGCCGAGCGGGCCGAGCGGGAGGCAGCTCTGGAGCGGATCACTTCCGAGCTGGAGGAGGCTCGCTCCGAGCTGGCGAAACATGTCGCCAGTGAGGCGAGTTTGGAGAGTGAGCTACAGGCACAGATCGGCGCAGCGGAGACTGAGCTGGCCGCCGCCGTTCATTCTCTCCTGGAGCACAGCCGGCTGCTGCTGGGGACGCTGCCGGCCAACAGTCCGGTGGTGATTGGCTGGGAGGCCCTGCAGTCGGCAGTGGCCGGCGCCGCGCCGCTGCGGGTCCGCTGCACGCAGCTCACCGAGGCAGTACAGCTGCTGGCACGGGCCGCCGCGGAACCCCGCGATCCGTTCGAGACGCTGCCGCCACTGCGCGACCGCAGCTCCTCACAGAGCTCTCTGATGAGCGAACGGTCTGAATCAGCTCGCAGTGAGCCGCCGGGCGCGGACGGCGAGCGGGAGGCGCTGCTGCTCAAACAGCAGACCCGGCTGAAGCAGCTGGCGACGGCCGTGCGCCGCCGCACTGCCATGCGAGACGAGGCGCTGGCTAGAGTCAAGGAGCTGGAGCAGGAGGCTCAGCAGATGAAGGCGCGTCTGGAGCAGCTGGAGAGTGCCGAACACCCAGTGGCTGTGCCTCAGGAGGGTAGTGACGAACTACGGGAGAAGTGGGAGCTCGAACTGTCTGAGAAAGATGCCAAAATCGCCGCGCTGGAGGAAGTCATTGATAAACAGAAGGTTGAAGTGGAAAGTGTCACAGCCAATGTTTCTGTTCTGACTGACCAGCTCAAGGGTAAAGATGAGAAAATATCGAGCCTAGAGGCGCTCATCAGTGATCAGACAAGCACGGATAAGACGGAAACCGAGAGTCTGACCGCCGTAATAAATGAGCTGAAGGAAGCGCTAGAGGCTGTCACCAATGAGAACAACGACAGAGGCGAGCGCATCACCAGTTTGGAAGAAATTCAGGCAGGTCAAGAGGACAAGATCCGATACCTGTTGGATGAGCTCACCTCCAAAGAGGAGGCGCTCGCGGCAGCCACCGAGCGGTGTGCGGGACTGGAGGTTCGTACCACCGCGCTCTCTGCCGAGTTACGGTGCGTGCGCTGTGAGGCGGAGGCAGAGCGGTCGCAGTCGGTCGACGCTGGCCTGCAGTCCGCACTCACCGAGCCTCTGCAGCGGGCCGGGCCTGCTCGGCCCGCCGACACCGCTCTGGTGGCTGACGTGCGCACTCTGATGCAGCAGCTGCGTGCGCTGCCAGCCGCCGAGGCCAGCAATCTGTTCCGTGTACCTCATGGTATGGACGTGGTCAGCCTACCGTCCAGCGGCTCCGAGGGCCACCATCGTGACTCGTCAGAGGAGAACTGGTCGATGGTGGACGAGCGGCCCGGCTCCGGCGCTGCCTCACCGCCGCGAGCAGCCGCCGCCGCTGACTCGCAGACCACGCTGAAGGACGCCAGCCCTCCCTCCGAGTCCTCCGAGCCAATAACGGTGGTGGCGGCGCCGAACGACTGGGACGACGGCGGCGGCTGGGACCGCTGGGACATGATGGAGGCCGGACCGGTGGACACCTCGCCGTCCGCTCCGCCGGCTGACGAGGACGCGCCCGCTCCCGCCGCGCAGACGGAGGAGCCGGTCGATGCGGCTGCAGGCGAAGGCTGGGGCTGGTCGACTGGCGAGGAGGAGGCTGATGAACAGGCGGCTACCGGCCTGCTGTCCGGTCAGTGGGGATGGGATGAGGACGCCGGGTGGCCGCGCGAGGACCAGCCGGCTTCCGAGGCTCTGCGGCTCGGTACTACCGAACTGATGGCTCCAGACGCGGTCACTGCTGTGGAGACGGCACCACCCCTGTCGGCCGCGCCTACCACCGGCGCTGATCATAGCCAAGTCTCTGCTGACGCGCTCTCGGCCGAGCTGACCGAGGTGCGTCTGCTGCTGCTCACCACTCAGCAGGAGGTGAGCCAGTTGGCTGCCGAGCGCGATCAGTTGCTGCAGCGGCTCGACACCGTCACTAGCGAGCAGCAGGCGCCGGCCGGCCCTGACGCGGCGGAAACGGCTCAAAAGCTGTGGGAGGCACTGGACCAGGTGGCACAGCTTCGTTCTCGACTAGTCACCGCTGAAGGGGAGCGTGGAGCCCGCGATCGCACTCTGGAACACCAGCGTATAGACGCCGGCCACCAGTGGTCCGTGCTGAACCACGAGATCTCCAGTCTGCGTGACGAGCTGGAGGACACTGTATCCGACCTGACTGAGCTTCGTCAACAGCTGGACACTGCTCAGACCGAGCGGGCTGAGTGTGAGCGCTCTCTGGTGGTCAGTCAGCAGGAGGCCGACAGGCTGACTCGTGAGTCGCACGCTCTGCGCGCCGCCCAGTCCCACTCCGAGCAGTTGTGTCAGGAGACCGAGCGTCAGGCTGAGTCACAGCAGGCGGCGACGGCGGCGGCCGTGGCGCTGGCGGAGCAGGCGCTGGCAGAGCTGCGAGTGGCCTCGGATACGGTCCGGGGACTGGAGGAGCAGATGGCGGCGGATAGGACAGAGGCAGAGCTGACCGCGGAACAGCGGGCGGCGGAGAGCGAGGCACGCGTATGGCAGGTGACCGAAGAGGTGACGAGATTACAGGAGGAGGTGACCCGTTTGCAGCAGGAGCTGACCCACGTCCAACAAGAGGGTCTGACTGCCGGTGAAAAAGCTGCAGAGGATGCCGGATTGGCCACCGAGAAATTCTTGTCTACTATAGACGAGGTTCAGGGTCAGCTCAAACAAAAGACTGCTGATGTTGAGCGGCTAGAATACGATCTAGCCTGCTGCAAACAGGAGAGCGACGCGCGCGTGCAGCAGGCGACTGAGGAAGTGACGCGACTGCAAGAGGAGGTAACACGACTGCAGCAAGAGGAGGCACGGCTACAGGAGGAGCTAGTCCACGTCCAACAAGAGGGTCTGTCTGCCGGGGAGAGAGCTGCAGAGGATGCCGGATTGGCCACCGAAAAGTTCCTCTCTACTATAGACGAGGTCCAGAGTCAACTGAAGCAGAAGACTTCCGATGTTGAGCGGCTAGAACGTGATCTAGCCTGCTGCAAACAGGAGAGCGATGCGCGCGTGCAGCAAGCGACTGAAGAAGTGACACGACTGCAAGAGGAGGCAACACGACTGCAGCAAGAGGAGGCACGGTTACAACAGGAGCTGGTCCACATCCAGCAAGAGGGTCTGTCTGCCGGGGAGAGAGCTGCAGAGGATGCCGGATTGGCCACCGAAAAGTTCCTCTCTACTATAGACGAGGTTCAGAGTCAACTGAAACAGAAGACTTCCGATGTTGAGCGACTAGAACGCGATCTAGCCTGCTGCAAACAGGAGAACGAGGTGGCGCTGCAGAAGGCTGCCGACAATGTTGCAGAGCTAGAGCGTGAGCTGGCGTCAGTGAGGGAGCAGCGAGACACAGCCATTGAGCAGGCAGCTGTCATTCACGAGAGAGCCGAAGCGCCTCCGCTGGCCACAGCGGCACAGCCCGAGTGGCCGGGCTGGGGCGATTCTGACGCCGGAGGGCAGCATTCTGAGTCCGAGCTACGCTCCGCTGACCCTGAGGCCGCGACTGCTGAACTGGGTGAGATGGGCCAGCACCAGCCCGGAGTAGGCCAGGAGACGGGACAGTACAACTACTTTGATCAACCCCAGGTGTCTCAGGGCGAGACCGGTTACCAGGCGACGGAGGCCTACCCTACCAGTGCAGAATACACCAGCCAGGGTAATCAAGGAGTGGCCGGGTACTTTGCCGACACTAGCCAGTATCCTCCCATGCAGTATCCTGGACAGCAAGCTGAACAAACTCCTGGTTACTACAACCAAAGCGGCAACCAGCAGACAGAACAAACTCCTGGTTATTACGACCAGAACGGCACGCAGCAGACCGAACAAACTCATGGCTACTTCCAGCAGACCGACGGTCAGCAACCGGCCTCGAACGCCTTTGATTACGGACAATCGACCGCAGGCTTCTTCGGCCAGGAGCAGTCGGCTCAGACAGGGGGATATTGGGACACCGGAGCGGTCTCAGTGTCATCCGCTGCCCCGCCGCCGCCGCCGCATCAGCCGGAGACGACTGCAGCGACGCAGGCTCAGCCGATTCCCGTGTTCTCTGCGTTCAGTGGAGCCGGGTCGGATCCATTCGCCGAGGTGTGGCCTTCTCAGCAGCCGGCGCCACCACCCGCCCAGCCCCCGGCCGTCTCTGTTCACCCTCCCACACCGGCTGTAGAGGAGAGCACGGCGGCGTCCGGACCGCCGCTAGACGAGCAGCTGGCGCAGACGTGCAGTCAGCGTGACGCGCTGCAGCAACAGCTGCAGGAGGCGCTGCAGGAGCGGGAGCGGCTGCAGGAGCAGCTCCGCGTCAGCTCCGACACCGAGGAGCGGCTGAACCGGGCGCTGACGGAGCGCGACGAGCTGCAGCTGCGGGTGCAGGACCTGGAGCTGACGGGCCAGCAGCTGCAGACGACTCTGCAGGAGCGGCACCAGCTGGAGGAACAGCTGGAGACGGCCCGCCGCGAGCTGCGGCAGGCGCAGGAGAGCGCGCAGCACCAGCTCAACCTGCAGGCTCTGGAGGCTGAGACAAGGACCGAGCAGCTGGAGCTGAGGATCGCCGACCTGGAGCCGCTCAGAGAACAGCTGGAGGCGGCCGAGGCGCGACTGAACGCGGCGGCCGCGGAAAGCCTGCGCCTCCAGCAGGCTGAGCAGGAGCTGGAGTGTAGCAGGACTCTTCTGGAGACCGTCACTGCGGAGAAGGAGCAGCTGGAGAGACAGGCAGCGGAGGCAGCAACGGCGGCAACACAGCCGTCAGCGCCGCCGCCAGAACCGTCAGCGCCACCTGTGGAGGAACCGATCGTTCAGGCTGCCACACACGCGATGTCTTCGGCGCCGCCCCCCACCACTGGCCTCCAGTTCGCGTCAGCCCTGTTTGGCGGCGCGTCAGAGAACTTCTTTGACAGTTTCGGCGCACCAGCGGCGGCTGCACCGGCGGCGCCGGAGCCCACTGCCCCTGTGGAGACGACTCCCTCCCTGGCAGAGGATCTAGCCGAGCAACTGACGCTACTTCGCGCTGAGACGGATCAGCTGCGCACCCGACTGGCTGAGGCTGAGTCGACAGCCGCCCGCTGTCATGTTCTAGAGGAGGAGGTGCGCCGACTGAAAGAGGATGTGTCCAGCTCAGAACGCAGTGAGGCGGCGGAGCTGCAGTCGGCAGCAGATGAGAACACAGTAGTCTGGGAGAGGATCAACCGCATGGAGCAGGAGGCTGAGGGACTGCGGGCGGCCGCTGCCGAGAATGCCTCCCTACGGGAGACTGTTTCACGACTGGAGGAGACGGCGGCAGCCATGCAGCGAGTTGAAGTGGAGGCCACCGCCCTTCGGGAGAGAGTGCCGGCGCTGGAGAGCGAGTCGGCCGAGCTTCTGTCGCGACTGGAGGCGGCTGCTGCGGAGAAGACCGAACTACAGGCGACCATCACTCGACTGGAAGCAGCGGCAGCCGCCGGGCCGGCTGACTCGACCGAGACTGAAGAGCTGCGGCGTCAGGTGGCCGATGCCCAGCAATCTTACGCCACCCTGCAGGCTGAGAAGACGGCAGTCGATACTGAATTGGCAGAGACCAAGGCGCAGTTGCAGCAGTACATTGACTATTGTAACTACTATGCCGCCTACTACGCTCAGAATCCGGCGGCAGCGGGCGCTGGACAGCAGACAGACGCGGCTTCTGCGGAGGCCGCACCACAGACGGAAACGGCTACGGTGGAGGCCGGACAACAAGCGGACACATCTACAGCCTGGACTGGACAGCAGGCGGACACGACTACTGCGTGGAGCGGACAACAACCGGCCACTGTTTCTGCATGGACCGGACAGCAAACGGACGCAACTACCGCCTGGACTGGACAACAAGCAGACACGGCTTCAGCCTGGACCGCACAGCAGACAGAAGCTGCTGCTCCTGCGGCTGAACAGCAGTACGACGGCTGGTCGTCGGACGTTGCAGCGGTACCGGTGCCTGTGTCGGCCGAGTCTGTCAGCTCTGAGCTCTCCACCGTCACCCTGCTCTCCCCGGCACCATCCCAACAGGGAACCGAAGACGCCATGTCGGACGCGGCGGTCGCAGATGCAGTGGTATCGGCCGCGCAGAGCGTCCTACCGTCTGTGTTTTCGTTCTTCGGTGGCGGCAGCAGCGGAGCGAGTGCTGGAGTCAGCGGGGGTAGTGGTGGCGCACCGACCGCCGGCGCTGAGATTACCACCGAACTGGAGCGACTGCGGACTGAGAACGCTGCCCTGCGCAGCCGCGTGTCCGAACTGGAGCTGTCCGTGTCGGCGAGCCGCGCGGCGGTGGCCGATCCGCTGGTGGCACCCACCTCCAGTCCATTCCTAGAGGAGACCGGCTCGTCACCTCCACGGGACGACTCGGGTTGGCACGAGTTCACGCCGGCGCTGGAGGCGGTGTCGCCGTCCTCAGAGGCGCCGGCCCGGTCGGCAGAGCTGGAGCGGGTCACTGCCGAGCTGATCGCAGAGCGTGAGAAGGTGGCGCGGTTAGAGGCGGCTGCTGCTGAGCTCTGGGAGCAGCCGACGTGCTCAGATAAGTTGGCTGACGTGGTGGCTGAGCTGCAGGCTGAGCGGGAGCGGATGGCACGGCTGCAGCAGGAGGCGGACCAGCTGCGACAGCAGGCCGAGGCGGCTGCGTCAGCTGCCGAGCACGCTGCCCAGCTGCGCGCGGAGACGGCGTCACTGCAGCTGGAGGTAGCGCGGCTCACCTCTGAGCTGGAAACTGAGCGGAGCCGGTCAGCAGCGGCTGACGAGGTGCCGCAGCTGTCGGTGCAGCTGACCGAGCAGCTGGAAACGGTGACCCAACTGCGCGCTGAAGTCGCGTCACTGCAGATGGAGGTGACGCGGTTGACCTCAGAGCTTGAGACGGAACGGAACCGGCCGGCAGCGACTGCGGCGCCGGCGCCGGCGCCGGCGGCTGGTGACGAGGTCGCGCAGCTGTCTGCTCAGCTGGCTGAGGAACTCGCCACGGTGACCCAACTGAGCGGCGAGCTCGAGTCTGAACGTGCTGACGTGGCGCGGCTCGAGAGCGAGCTCCAGCAGGTCAGCGAGGCGCTCAGCGCGGCCCAGGCGCAGCTCTCGGCAGCACGCAGCGCGGCGGCTCCCACCGACTCGGCACTCACCGACCAGCTGACCTTCTACCGCCAGAAGGTGGCCGAGCTGGAGACCATGCTGGCCGGCCTGCGGGACGAGCTGCAGCAGGCCAAGGTGAAGAACGGTCGCCTCCTGCAGAAGCTAAAGGTGCAGCAGATGGCCAGTCGCGGCGCGGCCGCCGCCCCCGACGCTCTGGATGCAGCCATGTTGGAGGAGGCGCGGGCGCAGGCCACCGAGGCGAGCCAACGAGCCGAGGAGGCTGAACGCCAGGTGCGCAATCTGCAGCAGGAGAAGGCGCGACTGTCCGACCAGGTGGGCACCTATCAGGACGCTCAGGAGAGACTCCTGGAGTCCAAGGAGCGTCTGGAGGCGGAGGTGCACGCGCTCCGTCTGGAGAACGACCATCTACGCGGCCAGCTGACTGACCTCGAGTGGCGTCTGGCGGAGCTGGAGGAGGCGGCCGAGAGTCGTCAACAGGAGTCCACCGGGCCCATCGAGCCGGCGGATGGTGATCCCTCAGCGGACGTGGTAGCGACGCTGAGACAGGAGAAGGCGGGCCTGGAACAGCGGCTGGCCGACCTGGAGCGGATCCACGAGGAGTTGGTGGAGCTGCACCACGCGGCGGCGGCGGCAGCTGCCAGCAGCCCGCTGCCGCAGCCGGTCGGACCGCTGGACGGTGCCGAGAGCCCGTCACTGGCCGAACAGCTGGCTCTGTCGGCCGCTGAGCCGCCCAAGTCGCCGGCGCATCGGCTCACGGGGGCTGATCCGGCGGCGCCTGTCGCCGTCACCGATCTCACGGCTGTGGAGCCGGTGGTGACGAGCGTGTTCCAGTCTGAGATGACCGCGGAGCTGCCGCCTCTGACCGGGGCCGATCCGGCGGCGCCCGCTGCTGACCTGCTGGCCGCTGCTGCCGTCCCGGAGGCCGCGGCGACACTCCCAGCGGCGGTCGGCGAGGAGCTCACAGCCGACCAGTCCCCCATCCTCCGCTCCCGGGAGGCCATCATCCACGGGATGGCTGAGGAGCTCAACAACCAGCGCGCCACAATCGCCGCACTGCGCGCCGAGGCGGCGCAGTGGCGCACGCTGGCCGAGGAGGGCGAGGACGGCGCCGTGGTGGAGGGCCTGAACGAGCACCTACGCCTGCTGGCGGAGACGCTGCACAGCCGGGACGCCCGCTGCAGTCAGCTGACCACAGAGGTGGCACAGGTGAGTAGCGCTGAGAGCTGAGAGCGTCCGTCATTTCGGATGACAGGGCATTTCTTCACTCTTAATAAATTTATTTAATCAAATAAGTGACGAGCTTTGCCTATTGTACATAGGTATGTGCGGCATGTTTCCAAGTCTTCGTAGTGAGTAGTCGTCATCAAGGAAATTGGTTTAGGAAGTAATAACGACTTGCTTTATATTTCGTAGTCGATCTTGTGGTTACATAATGGTTGCTATCATGCGTAATCTCATTTGCGTAAAACACGAGAGTGGCCAATCAGATCGGATAACCGCCAATGCGAATAATCCTTCAAATCTAATTTCAATTGTCTAAATAGAATATTTTCTTGAGATAATTTCGTGCAGCTTTCTTGATTCTGCCGTGCCACTGCGGCGAGGTTGCTGTCAACAACCATTTTCCGGCAGTCAACTATCGAAATGATTTAAAGTTTAAACGTTCGTGTCAGCGACAAGTGCACATTTATGATTACATGTCATACCTTGTTACACATCACATGCACGTTATTGATCGATGTCTGTGTGTCTGCCAGCTGCTGGAGCAGAGGGACGTGCTGTGTTCGATGTCTGTATTGATGTGTCTGTCTCTGTGCCCGCCAGCTGCTGGAGGAGAGGGACCTGCTGTATTCGATGTCTGTATTGATGTGTTTGTCTCTGTGTCCGCCAGCTGCTGGAGGAGAGGGACCTGCTGCAGCTGCGCCTCTCGTCCGCCCTCCGCTCCAACCAGTCCCGCGGCGCTGAGGTGTCTCAGCCGCCCGCCGACGACTCGGCCGACGTGCAACAGCTCAAACTCAAGTACGCACTCATGAGCCTAGTAATGACCTAAATCAGTGACACATAATGAGCGGCTTAATTAGGTTCTTAGTTACGCCATTAGCTTCGCGGAATGGGCATTTGATGTTAAACTCGTCAACCAACGAAGGGAAGGGGCTGCGTTTTCCCGAAATAAGCTGGATTACCGAGATTGACGAATATAGCTCACCATTAGCAGTTGCCTAGCAGCCAAAGAATTTGATATGCGGTTACAATGTTAAGTGAATGCAAACATGATTTTATTATTCTCCCTGCAAGTTTTCCCCTTGATTTAGAGTAGCAACATGTTGTGGTTAGATTATGAAGCTGCTTTATAGGAGGAATTTGGCCTCCACAGCGGCCCGATTGGGAAGGCACGCTGATATTGCATGTGTGTTATTCGATGTTCCATGCGCCTAATTTCGGTCTTTGTGTGCCAGGTTGGCGGAGCTGAAGCAGCTGAACTACTTGTTGGACATCCAGCTGCAGGGCGAGGTGGCGGAGCGGCGGCGCCTGCAGCGCTCTATGCAGACCGACAGTCCTCAACGGGGACGGCACCACCAGCAGGTGAGGTGTCCCTGCGTACTTATCAAAGACAGATAGTCCCCTGCCTACATGCGGACAAATCCTCATTTCAGACAGACCGCCCTCAACGGGACCGGCACGCCCAACATCTCTATACAAAGTGCCGCAGACATTCCCCTGTTCCCAGACTGACAGTCCGCAGAGGGGCCGGCACCACCCGCGGTAAGATGTCCCTGAAGGCTGCCACAGACAATACCCCTTTCCCACAGACGGCAGTCCCTGCAGACTATGCTACACACTTTACTGTTCAAGCGGTCATTGTTCTTAAACCCCCTAGTCATTTTTCTCAAATCTCAATAAATGGGACAGTTTTAGCTAATAGCCATCCAAATTCAGTGCATAAGTAATGAGAGATATAATAGCCTAACTCAAATTTTGGCCTTCAACAAATTTGTTTCCATTTCAGATGACCGGGACCCTGAGTCCGAACACATCGGATTTAGTCAGCTCTTCGTCTAAGGACATCTGACACCGTTTGGGTTAGTGCCTGACACAGACACCGTCCCAGTCGGGTGTCCTACCGAATGTGGGGGCTGGTTACACCGTGTCGAAACAAGTGCGTTACGCGCGGGTGAGTGCGTGCGTGTGTGCAGTGTGGGTGCCATTGTGGCGCTCGGTCGCCCTGGGCTCTGGACTGGGTCCCAGGTAGGAGACTGAATGCGACCGGCGATCGGACCTATGTCCTATGAACGCTCTGGTTCCGCTCCGGCGAGCAATTAGTGCCGGACTTGTGCGATACAACCAATGATAACTATACGACAAACTATTATATTAATGCAAGCGATTAAAGCATCGATCGTGTAGGTCGATGCAAGTATATGAACTATGACAATGACCTGTTGATGAAGGTGAAGTGTGATCTGTCTGTTCAGTTGGTGTCCTGGGGTTGAAGAGCTGTGCACGTTCAGCAGATCCCCTCGGCTCTGTGGTTTGGTTCGGGCAATTGTTGAGCTTCCTCGCACCGAATGCACCAGCCAGGATGGTCGATATAACTTTATTTTGGGTAGCTTATGGCTATGTGTGTGGTGATAAGGGCTATGCTTTGCAATTACTTTCTTTATTTGGCGGAAATTTCAGTGTGATCTTCTTTCATTCCGACGTTCCTTTTATTTCAGCGATGTTTCGGCACCAGCTTTGGCCCTTTGTGCGTCTGTCAATATAATGCTGTCATGGGAAGGTAATCCGGCGTTTGGCTTCTATCTAGTTCACGGGTCATTATCTGAACTATCCATTGGTGCACTATACGTTCGGCTATCAATCGATGTTTGGCATACATTTAATCCGATGCATGACAGGCGGCGATGTGGAGTATTGATTGGCTATTGATCGGTGGATATACGACCTCAGCTGTGGACGGCCGTCTCCCTCCTGCCTGTTGGTCCGCCCGCCAGCTGTGGTGTGGTACGACCTTCACCCGGTCCGCGGCTGTGCCGACAGCTCCTCCGTGCCGGAGCGGTTTCAGCCCGTGACAGTCAATTTGGCCGGCCCGATACACTCGGCATTTATGAATGGCACGACACTATCACAATCGTAGCACACGCTCAGGCCGCGGCCCGCGGAATCGGACGGAGCACGGGCTCACTCCACCAGCCGATACGGTGGCACGGAGCACCCCGTGGCCGCGAGAGCCGACCCTACCAACAGCGCGAGCGTCAGCGGCGTGCAGAGTCCACTCACAAACTGGAGGCGCAGGAACGGCAGGGCCCGGGGACCCGCACCTTTCGGCCTCATGCTTCGCTCGGGTCCTCACGCCTTCTTAGCGAGAAAAACAAACATCAATTGACGATTCACCCAAGAAATAAAAGCAAAACATTTGCATCTTGGGACAGTTGACGTCCCTGCGGGTTAAATCGCAGTTCCGTCTTCACTGGCCTCGCAGTTGTGTCGAACCTACGCCTATGTCTACAACGAAACGAACAACAAGAGATATGGCATCATGGCATAGATCATTGATCCGTTGAGGATGAAGCTAACATATAAGCTAGGCACTTGCATCCTGTGAAGGATAACCAACCAGTTCACTTCTATCAGTCACATTCACACACTCGTTTTAAAATCAGCGCGGGTAGGGCGGATTCGGGTAAATATCTGAGAGCTGAGCTTCAGCCGCCTATTCGAAATCCAGACTAGTCTGCAGTCTTGGGCTCTAGATAATCCTCCAGCCTGCCTCAAGATTCGAGGGAGTCTGTTAGTCTTAAAATATGTTTCATTGGCGAAGAATGCTAAGGCGCTGCTTATGCGGCCGTCTTATTGCAAGTGCCGTCGTTAGGGTCTGAAAATGGACGGGTGGACGGTGGGTAGATCTCATAATTTGGTGGTAGGTGGACACTAGACGGGTCTCAGTGTTTTCAACTTCTCGATATGTTTCGAGTGGGACGGAAGGATGAAGGCAATAAGAGCGCTTGCAGCGTTTTCCCCAATCCAGACTTGCACAAATATTTAAGAGCACACCATCATTGCATATCGTTCCGCGTCCAACGCTGGGCGGTCTGTCATTAGTGAGATATGTGAACTTGTCTCGACTTCCTCATTCGTGTTGCTGAGGTACTACCGAGCACACGTCGCCTCTGAGCCTGCGGCTGTGCCCGTCTCCATTACTCGCTGCTCTGCGGCCCCTCAGGACTGGAAAGGTCCACGGTGACGGATGGCCCCGGCCGCTGGACCCGGCACGCCGATCTTTTTGGCGAGCGTCTCCATTACGTGCAGTAGCTGGTGTCGAATCGGGTACCTCGCTGGTAGTTTGTGACCCACCACGACCGGGTTCACGTAGTACCTGTGCCGAGAAAGAGGAGGGGTCAGCGGCTTCACAGACGGAGGCGAAGGCGATAGAAGCTAAACGAAAGCTGATGCTGTATCCGTGTATGCAGTTTAGTTCATTTATGAAAGTAATGTGGAAATGTGTCACGCATTACCGTTATAAATGTCTCACATAGTAGATCTTTTGCAGTCTTGGCGACTTTCTTAATTATGACGGCTGCTTGCAATACGATTCAAATTCTTGTCCGTCTTGTTTCCAGGACACGGAAAGCAACATTAATCCACTCGCGGGTCAAACTCTAGGAACTAGGAGTAATAAGCATAGCCTGCACACCACAGCCGCTTCCTGAATCCTTCTATACCTCGTATGAGGGCTGGAGTACGTTTACCTGACCTCCTCAGTGAACTGCCGCTGTATTAGGGCTGGGGTACGTTTACCTGAACTCCTCAGTGAACTGTCGCTGTATGAAGGCCAGGGTCGTCCGTTACCTGAACTCCTCAGTGAACTGCCGCTATATGAAGGTCAGGGTCGTTTACCTGAACTCCTCAGTGAACTATCGCTGTATGAAGGCCAGGGTCGTTAACCTGAACTCCTCAGTGAACTGTCGCTGTATGAAGGCCAGGGTCGTTTACCTGAACTCCTCAGTGAACTGTCGCTGTATGAAGGCCAGGGTCGTTTACCTGAACTCCTCAGTGAAGTGCCGCTGTATGAAGGCCAGGGTCGTTTACCTGAACTCCTCTGTGAACTGCCGCTGTATGAAGGCCAGGGTCGTCCGTTACCTGAACTCCTCAGTGAACTGTCGCTGTATGAAGGCCAGGGTCGTTTACCTGAACTCCTCAGTGAACTGTCGCTGTATGAAGGCCAGGGTCGTCCGTTACCTGAACTCCTCAGTGAACTGTCGCTGTATGAAGGCCAGGGTCGTCCGTTACCTGAACTCCTCAGTGAACTGTCGTTGTATGAAGGCCAGGGTCGTTTACCTGACCTCCTCAGTGAACTGCCGCTGTATTAGGGCTGGGGTACGTTTACCTGAACTCCTCAGTGAACTGTCGCTGTATGAAGGCCAGGATCGTCCGTTACCTGAACTCCTCAGTGAACTGTCGCTGTATGAAGGCCAGGGTCGTCCGTTACCTGAACTCCTCAGTGAACTGCCGCTATATGAAGGTCAGGGTCGTTTACCTGAACTCCTCAGTGAACTATTGCTGTATGAAGGCCAGGGTCGTTTACCTGAACTCCTCAGTGAACTGTCGCTGTATGAAGGCCAGGATCGTCCGTTACCTGAACTCCTCAGTGAACTGTCGCTGTATGAAGGCCAGTGTCGTTTACCTGAACTCCTCAGTGAACTGCCGCTGTATGAAGGCCAGGGTCGTTTACCTGAACTCCTCAGTGAACTGTCGCTGTATGAAGGCCAGGGTCGTCCGTTACCTGAACTCCTCTGTGAACTGTCGCTGTATGAAGGTCAGGGTCGTTTACCTGAACTCCTCAGTGAACTGCCGCTGTATGAAGGCCAGGGTCGTTTACCTGAACTCCTCAGTGAACTGTCGCTGTATGAAGGCCAGGGTCGTTTACCTGACCTCCTCAGTGAACTGCCGCTGTATTAGGGCCAGGGTCGTTTACCTGAACTCCTCTGTGAACTGCCGCTGTATGAAGGCCAGGGTCGTCCGTTACCTGAACTCCTCAGTGAACTGTCGCTGTATGAAGGCCAGGGTCGTTTACCTGAACTCCTCAGTGAACTGTCGCTGTATGAAGGCCAGGGTCGTCCGTTACCTGAACTCCTCAGTGAACTGTCGCTGTATGAAGGCCAGTGTCGTTTACCTGAACTCCTCAGTGAACTGTCGCTGTATGAAGGCCAGGGTCGTTTACCTGAACTCCGCAGTGAACTGTCGCTGTATGAAGGCCAGGGTCGTTTACCTGACCTCCTCAGTGAACTGCCGCTGTATTAGGGCTGGGGTACGTTTACCTGAACTCCTCAGTGAACTGTCGCTGTATGAAGGCCAGGGTCGTTTACCTGAACTCCTCAGTGAACTGTCGCTGTATGAAGGCCAGTGTCGACCGTTACCTGAACTCCTCAGTGAACTGTCGCTGTATGAAGGCCAGTGTCGACCGTTACCTGAACTCCTCAGTGAACTGTCGCTGTATGAAGGCCAGGGTCGTTTACCTGAACTCCTCAGTGAACTGCCGCTGTATGAAGGCCAGCGTGGTGGGCAGGCTGCTGGTCAGCGTCTGTAGCACGATCAGGTGCTGGTAGACCAGCACCGCCTCGCCGGGTGACCAGGTGCTGGCGCGTGCCGGGTACAGGAACGCCAGCAGCTGGGTCACCGCCGCACTCAGGTGGTGCTCCTGACGGGGACACAAAAACGAGCGGCCACATTCGGTGGTAAACTTAGTCTACGCTGGTTGGTCATCCTTTGAGTGGCTGAGCTACATGTTTATGAGAGCGAGCTAGGATAAGTTATGCTCGTAACATGCAGCACGTGACCGTGAAATTCGTGACCTGTCCTGGTGACTAGTCTGCCCGCTGAGTTAGAAGTGTTTTTTCCGAGTCGACGACTTTGTTTTAATTAGCTGTAGCTACCCCCATAATGACGGACTTCGGGCACGCACAGGGATCAAATGAGTCCGATGGTCAGCTAATTAGAAGGCACTTCTCCGAAACAGATGATTTGGTTGGTCCTTAACCCGCGCCCTGCTGGGGGGGGGGGTGTTTGAACACCCCCCTTGTGGTTTTTCGCGAATATCTCAAAAACGGCGGCGCGGAGCGCCGCCGTTTTTGGTACACCTTATCATACATCAATTCTACACATCTAAAAATTTCAGACCAAGGTCATTCAAGGTCAGGTCACCAGGTCACTTGAAGTGACCTCACCTCATAACAAGTTTCAATGTCTGTCATAGCTACACCGAGTGACCGATCGCTTTGAAACTTTCAGCGATTACTAAGAGCAATAGCATGTACAAAATGTATATCTCAGAATTTTGATATCGATGACCTAAGGTCAGGACAACTTTGCGACCTCCCCATTATAAGTCAATGGGAGAAAATTGAAATGCGCCTCTTTTGGATGAAAGACATTATAAACACTCCCAAACACCGAATTACAAGTGTTTTAGACACACTGAACATGAAAACGGTGTCCGTGACCCTTGTTTATGCCCTGAGGTCATCTTAGGTCACGAATGGTATCTAACAGTTTTTCGCAAATAACTTTTGATAGAGGCATGCTAGAGCGATGAAAACGCCTTAGATGTGTTCAGCTCGACGATACGGATCGACTGATATGCAACATGACCCTTTCCGGTCAGGTCATGACCTTGACCTGAGGTCAAATTTTCAAGTTGACCTTTCAAGGTCAAGTTATAGTTCATTCGATGCGTCTTGACGAGAGGAACACGATGCTGGTGAAAGTAAGCTCGTACAAGGCTTGG